CCCCAATCACCTTTTTTACTCTACTGTTTAGCCATGGTATTGTTTTGTTCCTCTTACTTTTTTTTTTTATTTGGAGTACACATTTAGTTTGAGCCTGTATTATGGTGTTTTTAAATACTCTCCATACCGTTTGCAAGCATTTCACTCTTGTGACTGTTCCTTTTAATTTCCATGTAACTAGCTTCCTCATTTTTGTGTAGTTCCCCTTTTTGAAGTTAAATGCTACTATGGTCGGTTTCTTTGGTATTTCCCCCCAACAAGGATGTTTAAATTTAATTACATTATGGTCCCTACTATAGCAGTTCAGCTACATTCACCTCTTCGGCTAGATTCTGTGTTCCACTCGGGACTAAGTCAGGAATTGCCTCTCCCCTTGTAAGTTCTAGAATTAGCTGCTCCAAGAAAGTCATTAACGGTGTCTAGACATTTTATCTCTGTATTCTGTCCTGAGGTGACATGTACCCAGCCAATATAGGGATAGCTGAAATCCCCATTATTGGGTTTCTGTTTTTGTAGCCTCTCTAATCTCCATGAGCTTTTCACAATCACAGTCGCCATCCTGGTCACATGTTTAGTAGTCTATTCCTACTGCTATACTCTGATTATTCAAGCAGGGAATTTCTATCCATAGAGATTCTACAATAAAGTTTGATTTCTTTCATACACAGTGCTACTCCCCCACTAGTGACCTACTCTGTGATTCCCATATATTTTGTTAAATCCTGTTCATTAAACGCAAATGAGCTATTGTGTGAGATCAAGGATCAAAGACTTTAAGTGCATTCATTTATTAAGTGCGTCTTTGGTGTGAGGTCTAGAATACCAGTTGATCTGGGGTAAGTGAGTGGTCTCTTGGGACTGGAAGCAATCTGAATATTTTGTGATTTTTTTGGGGGGGATGGGTGGGGGGGTGTAAGTGACCATTTATCACAAAGTCTAGCTTGCCTGGGTGGCACGACAAACTGGAGAGGCTAAGAGGACTGTCTGTGATTCCATGGTAAGACTGTTATAGTGATCCAGAAGTTCACATTTGTTACTGGATTGGCGGAGTCTAATTATAGAACATACCACCTGCTTGGGATGTCTGCCCTGTTTTTGACAGCCTACCCTGAGGTAGGCACTCACAGTCATGAGCCATTCCATACAGCATAACAGAAATTAATAGGCAGCAGGTATAAAACAAACAGAAGGAAGTACTTCTTTCCACACAGTCAACCGATGGAACTTGTTGCCAGAGGATGTTGTGAAGGCCAAAAGTATAATTGGTCTAAAAAAAGAACTTGAAAAGTTCATGGAGGATAGATCCATCAGTGGCTATTAGCCAAGATGGTTAGGGTTGCAACCCCATGCTCTGGGTGTCCCTAAACCTCTCACTGCCAGAAGCAGGGACTGGTCAATTGGATGGTTTGCTTGATAATTGCCCTGTTCTGTGCATTTCTTCTGAAGCATCTGGCACCGGCCACTGTCGAAAGACAGGATACTGGGCTAGGTGGACCATTGGTCTGACCCAGTAGAGCCATTCTTATAATAACTTCATAATATCAACTAGAATTCATAAGTCATACATAGGTTCTCCAAAGCATCTAAGGGGCCTTTATTCCCCCCCTCTCCCCCCCGGGCCCTCTGCCCCAACGTATCACTTATTTCAACAACCATTCTTGAAACGTAGTTTTAGGAGAGTGGTGGACTCTTTACTGTCTATCTAATCCCTTTCTTGTTCAGTGCACATAGATGAATTCTTATTTGTTAACCATTATTTCTGTTAAACTAATTCAAGAACATATGTTTTAAATATGTAGCGTAAATGCATAATTTATGGCTAGCTCTTCAGCATTAGCCAAGTTTGCAGTCTGTTGAGAAGTCCTGCATGAGGACAGTTTGGCAGTGGAAGACAATACACCTCTACCCCGATATAAAGCGACCCAATATAACACAAATTCGGATATAACACGGTAAAGCAGCGCTCGGGGGGGGCCGGACTGCACGCTCCAGCGGATGAAAGCAAGTTCGATATAACATGGTTTCACCTATAACGTGGTAAGATTTTTTTGGCTCCCGAGGACAGCGTTATATTGGGGTAGAGGTGTATTAAATGTTGGATGCTTAATATTAAGATTTCAAATACCTCAATAAATTTAATTCCAGTGCACCTTATAGGCATAGGTGCCAACTTTCTCCGGCGCTGGTGGGTGCCCGTGCCCCCCCCCCCACCCCTGGCCCCGCCCTGACTCCACCCCATCCCTACCCCATCTCCAAAGTCCCCTCCCTAACTCCACCCTTCCCTGCCCCTATTAGATCCCTTCCCCAAATCCCCGCCCTGGCCCCGCCTCTTCCCCCAGCGCGCCGCGTTCCCCCTCCCTCCCTGCCCCACGAATCAGCTGTTTCGTGGTGCAAGCGCTGGGAGGGAGGGGCGGGAAGCAGGATGCGGAGGTGAGCGGGAGCTGAGCACCCACCAATTTTTTTCCGTGGGTGCTCCAGCCCCAGAGCACCCACGGAGTCAGCACCTATGCTTATAAGTATCTTTTACTGTATTTAATCATTCAGCTGCTAGTTCACTGTATATTTCTTATTTATAATAAACTTGCCCTGGTGGAGAAGGACTTATTTCCAACAGCAGTAAGACATTTTTATGCTTTTAGTAAAATGAACATATGTTTCAGTTGCTAATTTGAACTGATGTGGAGATTGTAATAAGGCATTTTATAAATAAAAAATAAACTCAAAGTCTAGGTAGAGAACTTAGAAAAATAAAGGATAATATGTCTTTTGTTTAAAAAAAAGAAAAAGAAAAAAAGCCTGAGAAGAGAAAGGGGCCTTGTGCTATGCCTTAAAAATCACCAGACTTGGGCTTCGTTAGAATAGTGGGGAAAGCAAATTCTAGAGTTGAAGGTCTTCTGCTGAGAATACCCTGTTGCTGTCTCCTCAAATCTTTGACTCTAGAGGGTATCTGCTTGAGGAGAGAGAAGGAAGAAATGACGTATGACAGTTGGTCTGTCACATAGCCAGGACCCAAGTCATACAGGATTTGGTAGATCAAAATCATTATCTTCTTGACAATTTGGCTGTATTTCTAATAACATATTCTTTGCACAGCTTTACTAGTTTTGACATAAATATCCTCTTCTAGTTTTTATCCTCTTTTAAGCAGACTGTTAATCATGTTGAGTGGGCCAAAGAATATAGTTTTTGGACTGCAGTGAGAGCAAGATGAGGCCCCATGTGGTGTGCTCAAACAAAGGACTAGGAAAAGTTGTGTAGCTTGTCAGAAACCACGCCTAAAAGTCTCATTAGCTTTTTGTTTCGGAGCCTTTCAGTATCATATAGTTGCACACTATTTGGCCTCATGGGAATATTTCTGTTGACAATCTTTCACATGTTTGGCCAGTAGATAAACATTTAATGTACCTATTATGACCATTTTCATAGATCATTTGTCATTAATTTGTCAAAAAATATAATAATGTCTTTGACTTAGTATAGGTCTGTATGTATCTACATTGAACTACACACTTCATTTTGTTTTGTGAGCATCATCTTGGTTGTAAGACTAAACTGTGCCCTGTTCTCTTTTTGCCTCCATCTTTGACTGACATTCTGAGAGGCCTTGACAAAGGGTGAACAGTGCAGAGTAACCAAGGGTCCTTAACTCTGGCAGTACAGTAGATATGGTAAAGAGGATGGCTGAGCTGCAAGAAAACAGTGCTCCTCAGTTGTCTGGTAGGTGGTGTTGAAGCAATGGGAAACCCTTAGCAGAAAAGAAGGAATAAAGACAAAAACTGTTAGAAGTTGCTCACTAAGCTAAGGGGAAGCCTTTTGATGCTGGACCTGAACAGCTCAAGGGAACTTGGTGCAGGCGTCAGAGATCCGTGATCAGGAAGAGAAGATTGAATCAGAGGAATAGGGTCCAGGAAAGTGGATCTAGGACCCTTGAAGATACTGACCAAAATCCAACAAATGCTTAGGAATGATGGACAATCCCCTGGAGTCACCACACTACAGAGCCTTTGCTGGCATGGCTATGCAGGCAGAGATCCCTAGTGGAGACATAACATATGCCGGCAAAACAAATTCTGCCAGCATAGCTACGCCACCACCTAGACGACATTACCTATACTGAATAAATTACTCTTTCATCAGCATAGTTGCGTCTATATCAAGGGTTTTGCTGCCATAGCTGTGTCAGCAAGGGGGTGTGATTTTTTTTCACACTCCTAGCTGATATAGCTATGCTGGCAAAACTTTGTCATGTAGACCAAGCCTGAGAGAGGGAATTGCATACAGGTGTTCATTTTTGCCTAGACCTGTGTCTCTCATGTGATTTGTCTATGAGTAAAGTATGATTTGTTTAGAAATTCCTCTGCAGAATCTGTGTTACGTGCTTTAACTGTCACATGGTCTTGGAGCTTATGACAGCTGGACTACAGAGTCCCTTTCCTTAGAAGTGGTACCAGATAGTCTGTGCCCAAGAAGCATACCTGAGAGGCCAAAGCTAGACACTGTGGCTGAATTCTGCCCAGACACAGAGTTGCTTAAAAGCACCTGGATTCAGTATGTAGATCCAAACACAACTTCATGGTGAGCATCTGGAAGAGAGAGTTTAGCCAAGACTGTGACAACCTCAATTAAAACATCAATAGGGTCTGAGAAATTGCTAATATAGTAGTGTAGGTAGAGAAAGATCTTTTGAATAAGGGATGTTATTAAACACAGAACACTCTAAAGTACAAGATTGTACATGGATCCATTCCCTTTCACTGAATCTTTCTGGCCTTCACTACAAGGGTATTGGTATATGTTGTTAAAAAGAGGTTTTGAAAAATAGAGATAATGAATGTGAAGGGCTGGGATTGGGGCTATAAAGGTGAGCATAGGCAGATGTAGAATCACATTTTCATATTGGTAAAGTGAACACAGATATTTTAAAAAACATTGGGAAGGGGATAATGGATTTCACTTTTTTTTAAGCAATTATGTTTCAGTTAATGATCTAAACATGGAAATAAAATCTTTTGTTGACATATTTTATCACTATTTATTAAACATTTGTATGTAGCACATTCATGTTTGTCTCTTTATATAGAGAGAATAAAAGTACAGTCCCTGTTGCAAGAATGAAGGCTAGACATGACTTGACACCTAGGTTATGATGCATAGTGAGATGACATCAGGCATGGGAAGGGAGGCTTACACAAAATAACACTGAACTTGCTTGCTTTTGTAAGGTACATATATATTTGCACATAGCCATAAAATTGTGTAAAAGGACAAATCCTTTGTCAAAACTTAGTGATGGTTATAAGTACTGTATTAATCAGTAAGAATGAAATTCATTCCGTCTGTGCCTCTCTCCTATTCACAGATCTGTCTTAACACAGAGCCAAGAACGCCCTGGCCAGTCTCTCCTTTCTGGCCAGCACAGAGCACAGCCTTGGTTCTCGGGAAGAGATGAGCCTCGCCTGCATAGTCTCTGTTCATGCTATACCAGGGGTGTGCAAACTTTTCCAGTCACACCTCCCCCGCCTTCCCATTAATGGAATCTGTCTGCGCCCCCCCCTCCCATTAATGCAGAGCCAAGTCTTCCTCAGCAGAGGAGCTTGGCCTGAAGGCAGAGCTGGAGGAGGAACTGGGGATTGGGAGGAGCTGGGACTAGAGGCGGAGCTGGTCTGGGGGCGGAGAGGGAATGGGGGCAGAGCTGAGCTAGAAGCATGGTGCTCCCTCCCTGTCCTCCATGGGGGCTGGCCCAGGCCTGGAGGCAGAGCAGGACTGGGGGCTGAATGGGGCTGGGAGAGGAGCGAGACTGGGGGCGAAGCGTGGCTGGAAGTGTGGTGCTTCCTCCCTGTCCCCTCCCCATGGGGGCTGGCTTGGGCCTCACTGCATGCCCCCCCAAAGGTTCCTCTACAGCCCCATAGGGGTATGCCCCACAGTTTGGGGAACACTGTGCTATACACTGTGTAGTTTCTGTGGAACAATGACTTTGCATGAGCCCTCTGCAAGAGGGATTTCACCCCGGGTGTTCAGATATCAAAACATAATTTACTCATATGACACTTGAATGTAGCAATTTGAGCAAAATATCTATATTAAGTTTAAATCTTGTTTTTCTTCCTGCCAGTTTGAAAAGCCTGGTGTGCGGGAAGATTGGGATTACCCTGACATGGCTAAGGAGGCAGGTAATTAATGGCCAAGATGACTTTTAGTTTTAACATTTTTTTTCTGAATTGTATTATGAGACAGGGTAAAATATACAAGAACAGGGAAGCAACCAATGAACATTCAAGACAGCAAATTTAAAACCGATGAAATGAAATACTTTTTTACGTAGCGCATAATTGACCTGTGGAACTCGCTGCCACACAGAATCAGAGCCAAGAACATAGGATTAAAAAATTAATTAGATATTTAAATAAACAATATCCTACGTAGTTGCACTAGCTAAAATTAATGTACATAAGTGATATCAACTTTCATGCATAGGCATACCAGCTGATCACTTAACAGCCAGGAGGAAGAAGCTTCTGTTGTTAAAACTATGTACTAACGAAATTTGAACTATGTGGCCCGAGAAAATGTTGGGCATACATCACAGGGCTCAAATATTTATTATATTCCAGCATTATCATCTTATCTTTAGACCTTATGCAGCCATTTTGACACTTTCATTGAAATAATTACGTATTAGACAAGATTTTCTTGTCTTAAATATACTAGAGTCTTCTACAGATTCCTGATATAACAATGAGTCGGTTAAGATACATTGTTTCCTCTTTCAAACACAGTGGGCCTTTAAGTTTGTTTCTGTAGTGCATGCGTAATACTATTTTTGTATATTGTTTACATAGATGCATACTATAATGTGCCTTTTTATTCAGAGGGATGAAGAATTTATTTTACTAGATTAGCTTCTAAATTTTTGCAGAAATCAGAGCTACATTCAATAAAAAATGAATTAGACTTCTATGGTAGAGGATGAAAAGCTAAGTTTTGTATGTTCCTCTAGACTGCAGAAATCTGTAAGAGTATTTAAGTCTGTCCCTGTGAGAATAAATAATAGATTTGCCCTTGATTTAATTTCTTTAATTGCCTCTCTATAACTTTTGTTTGGATCATTTTCTCAAAAAATATTTTATTTACTTTTTAAAAAGTTTTGACTGCTGGATATAAAAAAAAACCCTCTCTCTAGGTCAGAAGGCTTTAGCTGATGCAGGTGTTCCTTACTCAGCAGTGGAGCAGGCATGTGTGGGCTACGTTTACGGTAAGTTATGTTACCTGTTTAGGGTGTGAGTTTGCAAACACCCACTTACTTAACTTTATGCATATGAGGAGTCTCATCAGTGAGAATGAAATTTGTCCATTCCTGTACAAAACCTAACATCCACTCCTCCTTCCCCATTCCTGGATCTGCCTTAACACAGAGCCATGCTTAAAACTATGCACCTGTATAAGTCTTTGCAAGATTAGGGCCTCAGATTTTTAATGAACACAGATTCAAGCCTTAGTGACCTGTAGAGTGTCCAGTTATTTTAATCATTGGTAGGTATAGATTTCAAGGCAATGTGGTACACGTGCGAATATCCTAAGTAGCTCCCATTACAGGATCAGGTCCCTACAGTGTTACCTTTTGTGTTTGATCATCTCCGGCACCTTATGTGAGTTGTACACAATCTATACATTCTTATAATTGTTATGGTAATGTCATTCATTGCAGTAGTTTAAATGACAGTATAGTTTTGCCAGCTGGTGCCACCTCTGGAGGTTGAGAAGTTATGCTAACCTTGCCTGCAAAGCTAGAACATCACCTTTTTAGAGATCAAGTCGTTTTCTCAGGAGGCATTTCTGTTGTTCTTTCTTCCTTATCTTTTCTGTATTTTTTTTTCACAGTACTTAAAGATACATTTATAAATGTTCTTTTTTGCAGAGCACGTTTGCCCAAAATCCTGAGCTAGTTATAGAAAAAAGATTAATTATTATTTGGGCAAAGTCAGTCCTCCTTCAAGTAAATTATGGAAAGGAAATGGTATAACAGGGAAGTTCAACGGGAAGGTTAAAATTCTGAGAATTCTTTTCTTAAATCACCCAATTTTGAGTAGACAGCACAACAGACAATGATGTAACTATGTAATTAAACTACTTCTAGCAGTAACACTACCACTAAGAAGCCAAACAACATGGCAAAGCTCTCTTTAAAACAAATTAGGCCAAGAAGAGTGAATGTCAAAATACAGTCTTTCAGGGTCATTTCAAAGAGAAGGATACAGGTCAGTGAAGAGCATTTCTGTGACTTTTTTTATAGTCCTGTAAATAAGTGGCATTTTATTGACGAAATAAAGAAGAAATAAAACTAAGGTGATTAAGTTTCTTTGAGGATTTATGTTATATTTTTGTAATCATTAGAAAGTAGCCAAGAACTTTCTTAAAACGAGTAGTTAAAGATTTAAATAGAAATATTGGTCAACCTCCTACGTTGAAAAATTATTAATCATATAAGTTAACAAAGAATTTTCTAAGCATTTGTAGCAAATCAAGTACCACATATACTTGTTCATAAGCCAAATATTTTTGGTAAAAAAGTGACGCATCAAAGAGCGGGGGTCGGCTTATAAATGGGTCTACACCAAAATTTGATGATTTTAAACTCTCCGGAATCATTTAATTAAGTATTTAATACATTGTCATTTTGATTACCTGGAGCGTTCACAGGCACGCAGCTCCCATTGGCTGGGAACGGCAAACTGCGGACTGGGAGCTGAGGGGCTCTGTGCCTGTGAATGTTCCAGGTAAACCAAACGCCCAGGCCCGCTAGCGGCTTACCGTAACGGGCCAGGAGCCAAAGTTTGCCAACCCCTGAAATATAGAGTCAACTTATGAAAGGGTCATAGAGTTTTTGCTATTTTTACCTAACCATCTTGGGGGGTTGGCTTATAAACGAATGGGCTAATGAATGAGTATAGACAGTAGTTTGAGTAGTTTGTTTTGCCATTTAAGAGCAAAATGGGCATTTTGGGGTCAAGTGAATATTCACACATTTACAGCTGGAATTGAAGAAAAGGAAATATACTCCCTAGATAATCACTTTTCAGAATTTTAACCAGCCAGGAAAAGGCAAAGGTAAGCTTGAATCTGAGGAGTTAATTTCTTAGGGTGAAGGAGAGAACTGTATTTATTGTCTAGAAAGACATTTGGTAATAAATACTGCCATATTGGTATGTGCCTAAACACGTAATAGGCAAGCACATGGTCCTTCTAGCTTATTTTAATAGCAACTAATTTCAAATTTCATTTTATTTTAATACAATACTCTTTACAGAAAATTCAATCTGGCACACCACTTTAACCACCTGTCTTCCAGTAAATGTGTTTGTGATTGACCAGATACGAGCAGAAGAAAATCTGCTGGAATATTTAGGGAAATGGAGTCCATGCCCTTTGAACACAGCTCAGGTTGACTCTTAACCCCTCGTGATGCTTCGTATGTGTCTGGGAAACTAACTCCCCTAGTGTCATGAGTGTATGTATCTGGAACAGGTATTATATTGTAGACTGTTATTTGTACAACCTGGCAATAGTGACTGGACCGCTTTATAACAAGGTTAAGTGCTATCTTAGCTTACCTGTTGCTATCGGTTGAGTTGGAAAATTGTGCTCTTCAAAGATTTTAGAAGTGTCTTTTCAAGAATCAAAGTATAGCATTACCCTTATGTTGTTAGAATTTTTGCTACTATATGACTACTCTCCACTTTCTTTTAAATGTTTCATCTTTGTCTAAAGGTGACTCAACATGTGGTCAACGGGCTATCTACCACAGTTTGGGATTAACTGGCATTCCTATCATTAATGTTAACAACAACTGTTCCACTGGATCCACTGCTTTGTTCATGGCCCGGCAAGTGATCCAGGGAGGTAAGCTATGTTTGTTTAGAATTAATTAGCAGTGATGTAATATGTATGTGTGTGTGTGTGTATATATATATAATATATATATATATAATAAATTCATTAATTTTGTGAATCGCACTCTGAAACAAATGGGGATGAAAGGGAATAGTATGTTCTCCAAATTTCATAAATTACATTTATTCAGTTTCCATAAGCAGAGCTACATAAATTCTCTGCCTGCCTCCTCAGACTGGGAAGGGTGATGGGTATCATCTATTGATCAATTTTGTCATGCTCTGTGTGTGTGATCCCTCCATATGGAGTAGATTGCAGGATAGTAGCCTAATACAGTAAGCAACATTGGTTTAAGTAATCTAAAATTGTTTATGAATGTACTTTCATTTTTAAAAGTAAAACTTAATGGAAGTGCCAGCATTCAATTTTTTGTTATTCTGCATTTTCTTTACAAAATATTGACAATTTCTGTTGGAATTATTATTTGAAATTATTAATATAGGAGGCCACCGGATACTAATTTAACCATAAATTCCTTTATTAAATCCAGAGGCCAAATGGTATTTTATACAATTGTTCTAAACATGCCTAACAGCCTAAAGATAAGCAGTCACTACACCCATTACAGGAACAAAGTATTCATAAGCATGTGAGCAGTATACTTACAAATAGGCCAGACCCAGCGCACATCATCTCATCCTGGCGTGCTTTAGCATGATCAGTTAAGGTCTAACAAAGAATCTTCAGATTCCTGGCTCTTTTTATATCCTTCAGTTATCTTACTAGCTTTAGCAAAACACAGTTTGAAGCAGTTTATCCTTGCTGCTTTCCTCCCTCCAAGGCCTTTCTTTCTTATCTTCTCCCCCTGCCTTGCTTACCAGCAGAACAGTGAGAAGGTGTGTGCTTGTTTCTTTTAAGACCGTTTTTCTTTGTCTATTGCAGCTCTTTATTTTATTAGTTACCTTTTGAACTATACTTCCTTCCCACACTACAAGTAATAAGTAATACTGCACTGAAAATTCTCTTAGTTAAAAGGTGATCTTGGAAAGGAAAGCGCCTTTTTTGGTGTATAATAACTTTTTTTTTTTTTCTGCTTGTGTTTTATGCTTGAAATATCAGGTTTTGATTTTCAGTTTTACTGGAAGGACTTTTTGGAGAACTGAAACTAGTGGGATTATGGCATCATGAGAGACTGAAACCTTGAACCACTGAGAGCAGAAGGGAGTTCTAGTCAGACTGTTTAAATTTCGTTTGGTTTTGTATTGTGTTAACTTAAATAACTCAAACTCTTGACTAACACTTTAGGGAAAAACTCTTTGTGAAAGATTCTATATCTACTCCTTTTCAACTGGAGGGTGAGGGAGTTTACACTCTATTTCTCTAGTTCTTCAGGGAGTTTTATAGCACAAAAAAAGGGGAGAGGAGGACACATGATATTTGTGTTATTTCTATATTTAAAAATATTAACCGTGATTTCCTCTAAACAATTGTATTTCAGTATTTGTGGCTGAGGTGAGAACACTTGGCAATGCTAAGAAATTGATCTTTCAGAATTAAAATAATTATATGGTTTGAAATAAAGAAATCTGATCTTCTAAGGTACATTTCCTATTTGACATCAATAATTTGTGTAACCTCAATACCATTTTCATTCAAACTTGGCTCAAATTCAGAAGTGAAGAAAAAGAAGGAAAATGTACCAATTTTTGTATTTTTTTTTTTTTTTTTTGGAAATTTCATATTTATCGTACATGATCTTTAGACGTTTAGTCATATTTCAAATAACGAAAGCTTTATTTTAAGGTTTGGCAAATTGTGCTTTGGCTCTTGGCTTTGAGAAGATGGAAAGGGGGTCCCTTGAAGCTAAAGTAAGTGTCTTTAAAATATTTGCACTTTTTTTGAATGTAATCCAGGAGTACAAATGTTTAAAATGTATAAAAGACTTCCAAATCCCCATGTACACATCAATTTGTTTAAGATATCATCAGACAGATTGCTTACGGTAAATTATCTACATTTCCATCAAAATAGTTAAGGTACCTTTCACAACCATTTATTGGGAAATATAAATGTACAATGTGCAAATCTTGTATCCACAGATAAGAGATTAATTTCCCAGTAAATTTATCACTATCGGAAGACTAATGTTCAATAGTTCCTAACACCTGCGGTATGTGACCTAGATGAGTGGCTCTCAACCTTTCCAGACTACTGTACCCTTTTCAGGAGTCTGATTTGTCTTGCGTACCCTCAAGTTTCACCTCACTTAAAAACTACTTGCTTACAAAATCAAACATAAAAATACGAAAGTGCCACAGCACACTATTACTGAAAAATTGCTTACTTTCTCATTTTTACCATGTAATTATAAAATAAGTCAATTGGAATATACCATATATACTCGTTCATAAGCCAAATTTTTTTAGTAAAAAAGGGAAGCACCAGAGACGGGGGTCGGCTTATGAACGGGTATAGAGAGGGAGAGGTGGGACACAGCCCCTCCCCCCAACAGAGGGAGCAAGGAGAGGCAGCACAGCCAGCAGAGCCAGAAGGGAAGAGGCGGGGCCAGAGTCTCTCCGCTTCTGGCCACGCTGCTCTCCCCCCAGCCTCCGAAGCAGCTGTAGCTCCGGGGCTGGCAGGCTGCTGCCGTGCCGCTTGGCCCCGACCCCCAGAGCAGGCTGTGGCCACGCCGCCCGGCCTGCCAGAGCACGCTGCAGATGTGCCGCCCGGCCCAGCCCGCTGGAACATGCTGCAGCCATGTCGCCTGGTCCGGCCCGCCGGAGCATCTCCAGCCAGGCCAGAGACATCCTCCCCTGGCCCTCCCCAGATAAGGTGGGATGGGATGGGGAGAGTGTGGGGGTTCCGGGCTAGGGGTAGGGTCATGTAGGGGGTGGTCACAAGGGTTGCTCCTCTGACTCCCAGCTTCTCCCCCCGAAAAAATTTCCCCATCAGTTGCTGTCCCGGCCTGTCGGGGTAAGCAGCTGGCGTGCCGGGACACTTTGTTTACTTAGGTTTACCTCTGTGCCTGCGGACGCTCAAGGTAAACAAACCATCTCGGCCCACCAGCGGCTTATCCTGATGGCCCGGGAGCCAAAGTTTGCTGAACCCTGAATTATAGGGTCAGCTTATGAACGGGTTATAAAACTTTTTCCATTCTTACTTCTCCAACTTGTGGGGAGAGGGGGGGGGTCGGCTTATAAACGAACTGGCTTATGATCGAGTATATACGGTAAATCTTGTACTTGCATTTCAGTGTATAGTATATAGAGCAGTATAAGCAAGGGATTGTCTGTATGAAATTTTAGTTTGTACTGACTTCACTAGTGCTTTTTAAGTAGCCTGTTGTAAAACTAGGAAAATATCTAGATGAGGTGATCTATCCCCTGGAAGACCTCAGCATACCACCAGGGTTACACATACCCCTGATTAAGAACCACTGACCTAAACCAGTGTTTCTCAATGACCTATCTGTGGACTGGCGCCAGTCCCTGAGATCTCTCTGATACAGTTTAGGAAGGCAGCAAGCTGTTCCCTGGTATCAAAAAGGTTGAGAAACACCGACCTAGTCTATATTAAAAACAAAATTGAGGGGAGGTGCAGAAAATTACAAATGGTAATACTGAGGTACAGAGTGGTTAAAGTGATTTTCCTAAAATTGCACAGCAAGTTGGGGGTGGGGGTGGCGGGGAGGAGGAGAAAGAGAAGCCAAGTCTTCTGACTCCTAGTCCCATGCTGAATCCAATAGACCCAAAATGCCCTCTGGGCTTTTTTTAAGGGCTTCAATAGATCCTTTTCTCTCCCCACCTCCCATAATGCAGTTGCTGACTGTCTTCTGCTTCTCTGTCCTTTCTACCAAGTAGGCAAGTTATTGAAATTTCAAAATATCCTACCTAGGCAGAGTGCTGTCCACCTGAGCTGTTAAAAGAGAGATTCTCTTTTTCTCAAAGTCCATTATATTTTTGCAGGAATACTGTAGTTTATAAAGGAAATGGATAATTCACCTTAAACTTGCCAGTTGCTTAATTTACAACTATTTTTATTTTTAGTTCCCAGACAGGACAAATCCAATAGATAAACATATGGAAGTGATGATAAACAAATATGGCTTGTCTGCAGCTCCAGGAGCACCACAGTTGTTTGGAAATGCTGGAAAAGAACATATGGAAAAATATGGTACTGTTCAAACTTGTGAGGAAAAATCCTATTGCAGAATAAAGTATTAAAAGAAAAGTGAAAAATTTGTTTGGGTGCTTAGTTATAAACCGTTATTTCATGACTTCCTTTTCACCAGGTACAGTAACTTGCCATACCCAACATCCACAACTAATAGTGTTTGGGAAATGGGAATCTTGATCAAGGGATATTTTTAGAAAAGTAGATTCATGAGGCAGAGTTAAGCTTGTGGTGTATACTCTATGCTGTACAGTAGTTGTGATAGTAGTAAGGTTTGTGCCTGTATAGGGTATGTACTGTAAGGAGGCTTAACTTTTAATTTATTTGCTTTTGTGGTTTTGTGCTTGGTATGGATGTGTTTAGCAACATTAACAGTTTTATGACTACTTTTGTGTATTAGTCATATCTCAATTTACATTCTCAGAGTACCACCGTTGCAATTCCTTCAGCTCTCACCAACCAAAGGAATAGCAGTGCCGTAATGGCTTCCAAAACTTAGTCTCTTATTTGGCAGCACATATTCCTGCCAGACGAACTATTGGACATCTCGTATTTAAAATTTATTTCAGATGATTTATGGAAATAATTTAGAAGACAAAAGTTTCAGTGTAATTAAATTGCTGTGAAGTGGACAAATAGTAATATATGAACATATCTCTGTTCAAATTTGGCTAAAATTGATAGCTGTTAGCCTCTTTTGTATTTTCTGTGTGTCTGATAATGACAGTACAGTGCATTAGATATCTAAATTGGACATTTTATCAGCTGGAATTCAGCCAGTTTTAAATAATCTCTCATCTAGTAATTGAAACATTTACTGACCCAAACCCAGCTGTATTGCAAAGAATCCTTAATATAATGGATCTGTTATAACAGAGATTTTAGAGCTAGTGCCATAAGAATTTGAACTGAATACAGCATTCCTATCACTTGTTAATAAGTCTGTGAGAAAATATTACAGCCTCTCAGTATAACTTGACTTTTTTCTTTCAGGGACAAAACAAGAACACTTTGCAAAAATTGCATGGAAGAATCATAGCCATTCAACTAACAACCCGTGAGTGCAATATTGTACTTTGGTAATGAAAATATAGCAAGAAAACCAAATTTGAAAGAAATCATGTATTGCACAACAGTAAAACTCAAAAAAGTATAAAATAGACAAGACACTTTCCATTATATACAATGAGAACAATACTCCAATATAAATTCTCTATTCATTGCCTTACGCTTTGTAAAATTACAGTATGAAAGCAATACAGTGGGTGTAGCTATGATTAATATGTCTTCTTCCTGAGATTATGCTAAAATAAGATGTGTGTTTTTTCCTAGGTTTTCCCAGTTCCAAAAGAAGTACAGTTTAGATGAAGTGTTGCAGTCTCGCAAAATTTATGATTTTTTGACTCTTTTACAGTGCTGGTAAGAACAGGACTTTGATACTGTGTAGAAATAAATGCTGAAGCACTTTATATTAAAAAATATTTTAATTTGCCACTGGATTATAAGCAGTAGACTTTTTTCAAATGCTGTACCATCTATCTTCAGAGTATTAGATGCATTTTATAAATTAAAATTTAAATAAATAAAACAAAGTTCAGCCCATTTTGCTCTAACTTTAACTAGATAATTCTTATACTATAACTCACTAGACAAAAGTATACCTCATTTTCCCGTTTTCAAACAGTGCATTTCTGCTGCTGTTTAACAAGGTTTTTTCTTCACTGCTGCCTTTTCTGTCCACCAATGAAAGAAATTTTCCAAAGTCAGCACCATTTCTAATAGAAATTTGAGCAATATCCTCTTTTAATTGAAGAAAGCTGTTTCAATAAAAGATTTTGCTAGAAGAGTTCAGCCAACTTTTTGATGGAAAGGTCAAGGTGATGTCAGCAAACCACTTTGGAATAGTTTATGGATCTAATTTGGTTACATATCAATGACTACTGCCACGAATAGCACTCTTTTTCTGGAAAACCATTGTTAATTGTGTGCAATGAGTAAATCATTCTTTTACGTTCAATTAGCCCAACATCTGATGGAGCTGCAGCTGTGGTTTTAGCTAATGAGGAGTTTGTGAGAAAACATGGATTGGAGTCAAAAGCAGTGGAAATTGTGGCCCAAGAGATGGTCACTGATCTTGCAAGTACATTTGAGGAGAATAGTTGTATTAAGGCGGTAGGTTTAAATTTTTCTTTTCCCCTGCTCCCCACTTCTTATGCACATTGATTCTAATACTACTACAGATGTTTCCATGATAAAAATATCCAGATAGCACATGCATTGTACTTCACTATGAAGTAAAAATAAACTATATACTGTACACTTCAAAAAAAATCTTCTAGGATAAAAGATACATCCGTGGAGTAATGCTAAGAAAACAATTTTGATTTGTACGTATATAGGTATTAAGCGTAGGATTGTAAAAAGTTTAGTGTTACGCTGCACTTTTCAAATTGTTTAGAACATCAAATTAAGGAGAGAACCTAAAAATTGTGAGACAGATGCAGCAATCATTGAATAATCTGTTTGTGACTTGAACCCATGTATCTAGTTTTCCTTCTCTTCTACAGAAGGGTTATGCTAGTTTGCTTAACTTAAACCCAAAAGTAGGCCTAAACTGCAAAGTTTGGATGCAGAGCCAAGTTTTCTCAAAAGTTAGGGGTTATTTGCATCTATAGTTCTAGTATGAGTCAGTCTATTGTAATTAAGGACCAAATTCTGTCCTTTGTTGCATAGGTTAATGGAGCTGTGACAGTTTTCACCATCTGGGAATCTACCACATAATATTCAACCTCACTGATGTCAGTGGGGTTGCACAGGGGTAATTGAGGGCCAAATTTGGCCCAGTAGGTGCAAATCAAAGTAATGCATTCCAGAAAGTCTGATTTAAAAAATATTGAATATTAGCATTAAAGTCAAAGATTTGGCTGAAGATATTGAAGATTAGCATTAAAGGCTGGCAGCAGAGGTACAGATTACTAGCTAAATAGAGATTTGAGGCTAAACTTTCAACTGACATAAACATTTGCAATTCTTCTGACATCTATGGAATTGCGCCCAATTATACCAGCAGCATATCTTGCCCTTAATGACTAAATAATTTTGGCTGAGTATATTTTTACATGTAGGGAGAAGGAGTGGAGGAAGAACACAGAGGAGCCATCACTTAGACTGTTCCTACAATAAAGTTTAGAATCTCAGATTTCTTGCTGCAAAATTATGCCACATAATGGAAATCTAAGACTGCAGTACGAGGCACATTAATATTAGAATAGATTACCGTCACTTATAGGCCAGCTCACTTATAGCACATGTTCCGGTCACAACTAGCAGATGAGCATAGTCTAAAGTCTTGAACTGTGTAACTCACAATTTGTTGTTGTAGGTTGGCTATGATATGAGTAAAGAAGCTGCGAAAAGATGTTTTTCCAAAGCAGGTCTGAAACCTACAGATGTGGATGTGATTGAACTCCATGATTGTTTCTCATCTAATGAGCTCATTACTTATGAAGCTTTAGGACTTTGTCGGGAAGGTAATAACATTAATGAAGAATTTTAGTTTATTAAAATGAACAACATTAAACATGTCTTGTAACTTTGGTGTTTGTAACAAATGTTATTACTGCTTCATTGCATGAATCTGTCCTGTATGGTAAGAGCATTATTCTGTAACTTCATAAGAGTGAAGAAAAGCAAAATATTAATAAGTCATAAATAAACATATTGTAAAAACTGTAATTGGACAAATGACTCCATGTGGTAGTCTAAATGAATATCAAAAGGCAAATTAATGCATCACAGATACATGGTGCAAAAAATCATGTGGTTAGCAAGTTGCAGGGGGAGAGTTCTCTTAAAAGGAAGGGTGTGTGTGCGGGGGGGAGTTGACTCACTTTCCTCCCTCTTATTTGTGTCTCTGCTTCAGGTCCCCCTCTTTTCAGCTGCTCAAGCTCTTGTTCCCTGTTCCTAGACTTGTATTCATTTATCCTAGATTTTGCTCTGCTTCCTTCCAGCTACTGCTGTGGCCAGTTGATCTTGCTACTTCTCAACCTTCTTAACACCATTGGTGCTTCCGTGCTGCTTCCAGTGGCAGTTAGGTTGCTATGACCTAATTTTCTGGCTAGTGTGAGTAAACACAGGTTTTTTTTCAATTTTTCTTTCACACTTAATTCCCAGATGCACTTAGTCAACATTTATAGTTTTAAAAAATCCACCAACACTTAGAAAGGTATATTGAATTGGAAAATTTGGGGGCTAAAAAAATTAGAAATCTCCTAAAAGGTGTCTCCTATTCTAATATCTTAGTTTTCCATAAGTTTGCTGACTATGCATTAACATTTTGTATTTAAGGTAAGACCTTAAATTTTAATGTTGTAGTGTTTTTTTTTACTTAAGGGGTTTGAACAAGAAGCATCAAATATAGATTTAAACCAATCATACAGCAAAGTTATGTGGCTTTATTTGAAATTTAAAGATAGTTTTGCTGATCAATTGTTTCAGAAGTATTCACAGAGAATAAAGGAGGGACTCAGTCTCAGATATGATTTTTTTTTCTTGATTCCAAATACAATACATCCAGAAGCCTTTGAATAGGTCCCATACAAAGGCTCTTAAGCAAAGTAAGCAATCACAGCAGAAACGGGGGGAAGGTCCTCTCATTGGGTCAAAAACTGGTTAAAAGACAGGAAACAAAGGGTAGGAATAAATGGTCAGTTTTCACAGTGGAGAGGGGTAAATAGCAGTCTCCCTAAAGATCTATATTGTAACTAGTGCTGTTCAACATATTCATAAGTGATCTGTAAAAAGGGGTAAACAGTGAGGTGACAGTTTGCAGATGATACAAAACGACTCAAGATAGTTAAGTCCAAAGCAGACTGCGAAGAGTTACAAAGGGATCTCACTAAACTGGGTGACTAGGCAACAAAATGGCAGATGAAATTCAGTGTTGATAAATGCAAAGTAATAAACATCAGAAAACATAATTCAAACTATACATACAAAATGTTGGGTTCTAAATTAGCTGTTTACGTTCAAGAAAGAGATCTTGGAGTCCACAATGATAGTTCTCTGAAAACATCGGCTCAATGTGCAGCTGCAATCAAAAAAGCTAACAGGAAGAAAAATTAGGAAAAAATAAAAAATAAGAATGAAATTATCAAAATGCCACTATATATATCCGTGATACGCCCACACCTTGAATGCTATGTGCAGTTCTGGTCACCCCATCTCAAAAAAGATATATTAGAATTGGAAAATTTACAGAAAAGGGCAACAAAAATGATTAGGGGTATAGCACAGCTTTCATATGAGGAGAGATTAAAAAGACTGGGATTGCTCATTTTAGAAAAGAGACAACTAAGGGGGATATACAATCATGAATCATGTGGAGAAAGTGAATAGGGAAGTGATATTTACCCCTTTACATGACACAAGTGTGACGCTGGCAGACCAGGTGCCAACTCATGCTAAGGCCCCTATTCCTCACTGAACACCTACAAATGCATAGTTTGAAACCAGTCTTGTTTACCTGTGTGTTAGCATTATCAAAATAGATATTAGATTTATAACAATGTGCTTAGTGTTTAGACTTTATGGAATGCTTATAGGATGCTGCATGTATATCAGTATCCCATGTCATAAAGTGATGTTACAGCGCAAACATTTAAACTATAAAAATGTTTGACTGTAAATTCCCCACAGTCACGGGAGAAGCATTGCCAAGTGTGAAATATTAGTTTACCCCAAAAAGTATCATCTCCTGCCCATCAGGAAGAACTAGTGCATTCAAATGAACCATTGTTGAACAAAGACTTTGTTGATTGCTCCCCCTAGTCACCTATATGCAGGAGTGCTCGTCCCATCAGCTTGGATTCTGGGGTGAGTGGGGATAAAAATCTCTGACAAGGAGAAACTGTCTCTTTATGCTGTTTGAACTCTGAGGGGAAAAGATTCCTAGACATAAGCAAGAGATTCCCAAGCTTCTTGGCTTGGGTTAGCCCCAAAGGACATAAAAACTTGCTTATTATAGAAACTTCTATTACCTTTTGAATTTAAGATTGTACCACATTTGTGTGTGTATGCTTACCTGCTTTAATCTTGTAAATAACTATAATTTCTTTTCTTAGTCAATAAATCTTTAGTTAGTTTATTATAGGATTGGCAACAGGTGTTGTCCTTGGTTTGAGATCTGAGTACAGTTTACCTAGGGTAAGTGACTGGTCCTTTGGGACTGGGTGTAACCTGAATATTATTGTGATTTTTTGGTATGAAGTGACCATCTATCACATAGTCCAGCTTGCTTGGGTGGCAAGATGAACTGGAATGCCCAAGGGGACTGCCAGTGATTCCATGGTAAGACTGTTATAGTGCTTTAGGAGTTCACACTTATTACTGGGTTGGTGAAATCTAATTATAGAACATACAGCTAGTTTGGGGTTTCTGCTCTGCTTTTGACAGTCTGTTCTGAGTTTGGCACTCAGTCTTGAGCCACTCCAGACAGCATGACAACAACAATCAGGGGTCACCCAATGAAATTAATAGGCAACAGCTTTAAAACAAGTGTAAGGAAGTACTTCTTCATGCAACACACAGTCAACCTGTGGAACTCATTGCCATAGGATGTTGTGAAGGCCAAAAATATAACTGTGTTTTAAAAAAAGAATAAGATAAGTTTACGGAGGATACGTCCATCACAGACTATTAGCTAAGATAGTCAGGATCACAACTCCATGCTCTGGATGTTCCTAAACCTCTGATTGCCAGAAGCTGTGACTGGACAATAGGGGATGGATCATTCGATGATTGTTCTGTTCATTCTCTCTGAAGTAGCTGGTATTGGCCACTGTCGGAAGACAGGATACTGGGATTGATGGACTGTTGGTCTGCCGCAGTATAGCTTTTCTAATGTTCTAATGTTCAAAATATATTGAAGTATTACATTTCAGATTTTAAAAAGTTCAGCTTTTAAACTTATTAATGATTTTTTCAAAAATTGAATTAAAAAGTTGAGAACATCCTCTGTGTATCATTTTCTGAAAAATAGCATGATTTTACTTAAACACCACTAGGTGGTGTATAGTCTTATTTATGAACAGGCAAGCTGAGATTGAGGATTCAACAGAAATGCCTGCAAGACTAGACTCAAGATTTTTAACTGAACGAAGCTTTAAAAAGATCTCTTCCTCTGTCCTTTTCTTCTTACTATCCCTTCCATTTCTCTGACCTGTTCCTCTATACCACATTATTATTTGCTGGGTCTCTGTGGCACCAGGAGCAGCAAAAATGGTTGCAGTCATTTTCTATTTATTTAGATATGTACACTCAATAGTAAAAAGAAGCACCCACTCTTTGTTCTACATGTGTCATGGTGCACCTAGAAAATGCAATACACTGCTCCTGTTACTCCCATTTGATCAATTATTAACTTATAACTCAGTAGCATATTTTATATGGCATTTTTTCCTTGTGTTCTAATCAATTTCACTCTTCAGTCAATGTCATGAGAATATGTTTTTTTAACTTCTTATACCCTGAGAGCTCTTCAGTGGGAAAATTGCTCAATCCAAATGCACAAGATTATTTGTTCACCCCTAAGAATCAAAATCTGGTACTTCATGTGGTTTGTGTTGTTTGAATACTGAAACTGTTAAGTAAGAATGTATGTATTTAAAAGTATTGAGTCTGCAGCATGCCAACAACTGCCATTAATATTACTGCTTTCAGAGTTGTAGCCATATTGGTCCCAGGATATGAGAGATACAGTGGAGGAGGTAGTATCTTTTATTGGATCAACTTCTATTGGTGACAGAGACAAGCTGTTGAGCTACGCAGACCTCTTCTTCAGGTCGTGTACTTGAAAGCTTCTCTCTTCACTCTTGGGGGAATTTTGTGCCAAAAAATGAAAAATTCTGCTCGCAGTATTCAAATTCTGCAAATTTTATTTGTCAAAATAACACTGTATAATCACACCAGTTTCAATTATTTTGGTAATTTATTTCAAAATATCTGTCAGCAAGTATGTCTGTAACAATACAGACACACACAAAAATTCCCCCAGGAGCAGAGATTTAAAGAAACCGCTATGACAACTCAGTTCCTGCTTCTCTGACCTCTCCGCCACAGAGCCCAGCCAGGGGGCCAGAGACTCACCCCCCCCTTCCCCTCAAAGTCCAGCCATGGGCCCCCCAACCCAGACACTCACACCCCCTTTCTTCCAGAGCCCAGCTATGCCCCCTCCCCAGCTAGGGTTGCCAATTTTGGTTGGATATATTCCTAGAGGTTTCATCACATGACATAATATTTAATTGAAGATTAATCTTTAATTCTTGGATAATCCAGGACAATCCTGGAGGGTTGGTAACCCTATCCCCAGCCCATACACTCATACCTCCCTCCCCTCCAGAGCCCAGCCGTGGGGCCCTCCCTGGCTCAGACACTCATACCCCCTTTCCCCCAGAGCCCATCTGCGGGGCCCCCCCAGCCCGGACACCCCCCCACAGAGGCCAGCTGCGCCCCCTGGCCCAGACACTCTCAGATCCTACCCTTCTAGAACCCAAGGATCCAGAAGCAGAAACAGCCTGATGTTGGGTCCCAGGCTTACAGTTTCCTGCATGCCACCTCTTTTCTTCCAGGCGTCCTGGGAACTGCAGCTGCTGGGAACCGTCCAGTTCCCTCCCCCTCTCTCTGGCCTTGTTTTCTATTTAGGAGCTGGACTCTGCTGGGTCCTGCAGCCCTAGTGGCGGCCAACATCTCTGCAGCCCATTTCTATGGGGGGGAAAAGGAAATTCTGCGTGCCCAACATTAATTTCTGCAAAATTCTGCATTGCGCAGTGGTGCAGAATTCCCCCAGGAGCATTTCTTTCACTAACAGAAATTGGTCCAATAAAAGATATTCCCTCACCCACCTTGTGTCTCATTAATATTACTGCAAGTTGTGATTTCCTATGAAAAACATAACAGTATTTGTAATGACTAACTGCTCCTTTTCAGGTACATTTGCTCTTTTCATTATAATTTTACCAATTATTAATTTAATTATTGTATAAACTGAAAAGCTTATATAGTGTTCTAAAATATATATTTAGTGGGCAATGGAAGCAAATGACTCAAAACATATGCAATAATATCCAGAAGTAACAGTAAGGTTTAAAAATGTACCATAAGGTGACTTTTTTTTTTTACAGTTATTTTCCCCTTTTCAATTACTATTTTATAGGAAGAGCTGGGGAGCTGATTGATAGAGGAGACAATACTTATGGTGGAAAATGGGTGATAAACCCCAGTGGTGGTTTGATTTCTAAAGGACACCCATTGGGTGCCACAGGTAAGGCACATATAGAATTTATATTTCTAATGATTTTGAGGTCTGCATGTGGAAACTGACAGTTTCTCCATCAGGTTCTGAAGGTATCGGTGATTATGAATGGTGAAATAATTGTGCAGAAGGAGTGCTGGGGTCTGAGAATATAATGTGTCTGTCTAATGACTTCCAATATGTAAGAAGTTATTTTGCTATTGGTTGTTTTTTTCACTTACAAAGGTCAAAATACTCTCTTGACTTTATGCAGTTTACTCTTAATGTTTGCCACCTTTGAGCTATGAATATGAATTTTGTATTTGTCATATACATTTCATTGGTTAACTAAATTAATAGTTCAAATAATAGAGGATGATATGTGACATAACTTTTGCTTAATTAGTGATTTTTTTTAAAAGGACTGGGCTAGAATTTTTTTCTTAATTAAAATAAAATCCATTTTCACTTGACTTAAAATGTCTAAGTAGCTAGATGTACAGAGGTATTTTGCACAGACCTAATTAATCTGTCCGGAGAGAGCAAACATGTTCAAGAGAAAGTTCATATTGTTGACAAAGCATACGGAGTTAAGATATAATTTTTTTTCTTTCGAGACTTGAGTACTTACTAATTTTTCTTTAAGTTTCAATAGACTATACTAAGAATACATTTTTGTACTTTGCAGAGAGTACTTGAATATACAGTTTACACTGAGATATAAACATATATTTTTCTGTTTTAGAGACTACTCCAATCAAAATCAAGCTATTAGTTTTAAAATGTTGTAGTTTTATTTTATATACAAAGTCTGTCTCCAGCTGCCTATTCAGAGAAAGGGATTCAAAGTAGTTGAAGTGAATATTATCTTCTGCATTATATAATGTGTCCGCTGAAGACTTTTATGTTTATGCAGTAATTTAAAGCTGAACCTTCAACCAACTTTCTCATGCATTCCTTTGAAACTTCCAGTTTTGTACTTCAGCAGTCTTTCTCAGAAGCTAAATACCTGTGGTTTTAGAAGTGCCATTTTAGCAAGACATATCCCAACTTCTTTTTTCAATAATAATTTTAGTTTAAGACCATCTGTAATTTCTCTCTGGATTGCCACAATTTAATGGGTTTCATTAGATGTTTTCCATATGTATATAGGAAAGTATACGGCATTTAACATAAAAAAATGTGATTATAGCGTACCCATGTGTTTACCATAATATACGTTTATTCATAAATGCTGCAACACTTCTTTGAAGAGCTATTCAGTTATAATCTAAATGTAAGATGCTTAAAATGTAAATCTTAAACCAGTTTCTGTGGTGTTATATGATGAAGGGTCAGGCTGGCATTGAACTTTGTACTTAGCTTTTTACTGATTGTGAACTTTGTAAACTTCATTTTTATTTTGACCTGCATATATTTGGATCTATTTGGGACAATCCTTACCTTAAACACCAGCTAACACTTCATGGAGTACTTGAAGTATTGTTTCAATTCAATTGAAAAAGAATTATGATTTTTATAAGCAAATCATCCACCACCACTGTTAAAAGTGTGGAGAACCCATCAGATTTTTGATAGAGCCTTGAAATCCTATATTGGGTAATTTTGCTTCTCACTGAGCCAGTTGGTCATTTCTGGGAAAAAACTCTAAAGGCTTTTTAGAAATTATGTGTGTATTCTCTGCTGATTTGCTATTTAATATAGTATGTTTTAACTTTCAGCAATATTGTTAACTGAGAACTTTTCTAATACTGATTTTGGATGTGCCAGCTTAGATGATTAGGTGTTATGTTTTTCTTCGAGCGATGATCCCTATGTGGATTCCAAACATGGGTATGCATACGCCGGAGTCAGAACGGTTCATGGTAGTATCCGTTGACCTGCACGTGCGTCGTGCATTGACCGCGTGGCGTGTCTGAGGCTTTAAGAGGCTATGCGGGTTGATGCTGCTCCAGTTTCTTCTTACCGCTGGATGGCCAGAGTCAGAACCCCTGTTCCTCGTTGCTCTTAGCTTACCAAGAGAGATGTTCTTTAATCATTGTCTGTAGATAGTTTTTACTAGTTGTATATGGTTGTCCATTTGTTAGCTAGGTTTTCTTTGTTGGACTTCTCCCCTTGCGGGGCTCCTCCCCAACCCAGGGACTATGCCCCGGCAAGCCAGTTTTAAATACTGTGCTTCATGCCCACGGTCCTTTTCTGTGAGTGACGAGCACCAACATTGTCTGTACTGCTTGGGCGAAGCTCACGTTGCCGCCCGCTGCTTCATTTGCCACCCTTTCCCGGATTGGCCTCAAGAGGCCAGAGAACTTTGCCTTTGCAAGTTCTGTATGGAGGAGGTAATGTGACCATGTGCACAACCGGATCCAGGACCAACAGATCCATCAGAGTGGCGCTTCATACAGGTGGTGAGCTCCTCCCTGGGCCTTTCCCAGCCGGCTCCAGAGACACTACCACTACTGCCCAAGACCCACCATGCTCATAAGAGGCACAGCTATGGACATAAGGGCGGCTCCCCGACGGGGACTGTCTCTAAACACATCATTGCTTCCCTGAGCTGTGCCAGGTCAGGTGAGAAGTCACACATCAACTCGGATGCTCCAGCGACAAAAAATCCCACTCAGAGCATAAGTCCAAGCACCGCGCTCCATCGGCCCTGCCACTGGCCGCAGTGACTGGCCTGCTGCCGTCACTTCCGGCTCCGTCCACTCCACTGGGATGTCTGGACTTGCATGCCCAGTCTTACATACACTGGGGCGCTTGTCCCCTCTCATGCCAACAGCTGAATTGATGTTGCCATATGCCAGCTCCCGTCCACACTCAGGCATATTGTTGCTCCCAGAATACCGGCTCCCACGGATGAGCCCCTTCTCCTTCAGCATCCTGCTCTGCTCTTGGACCATCTGGCTTCATCTCATCCCACACTGATGGTTCCGACGACTCTGCCTCTACTGGATCTGTCTTTGGCCTCGGAGTGGTCCTCCAAGCCGGACTCTGCCTTCTTGCCTGCCCAGTCATACAGCCTGGACCCCTGGCGCCACCCATATCAACCAATGTACGCCCCACTGGTCAACCCATGGTTCCATTACTTGCAAGCACTGCTGATGCCAGGCAACCCCTATGCCTGACCCTACTGAGCTGCTTGGGACCCCGACAGCAATCGTGGGGGGACAACCATGCCTTCATCACCGGCTGTCCCCAATGCACACCGTCCCTCCCTCTGTCTATGAGAAGCCCCAGGACTTTCCGGCACCGGCAGCACCATTGGACCCTCTTCACGGTGGGGTGTTCACACTACCAATTCCAGGTCCTTCTCTTTGGGATTGCACTGCCCCCCTCGTCTTTACGAAGGTTTTCGCCATCGTGGCGGCCTACATGTGTCGCCTGGGTCACTCCATGTTTTCCTACCTGGACGATTGGCTCCTCGTGGCTCCATCCCAGGCCTGCCTCCTTATCACTGTCCGCACCCTTCATATCCTCCTAGACGCCTTGGGGATTTGCATCAATGAGGAGAAATCGGTCCTTACCCCTACCTGCATGTTCATTTTCATAGGGGCTCGTCTGGACTCTGTCGCGGCCCACACCTTTTTTCCCCCTTGGACTGCTTCACCGCCCTCACTGTTCTCATCACGCAGCTCCACCGTTGTCCATGCACACGAGTCCATCAGTGCCCCCTCTCTCTTGGACCAAATGGCTGCCTGCACCTCTGTCACGCTACATGCCTGCCTCCATATGCATTGCCTCCAGCTGTGGCTCCACTGCATCTATGATCCTCAGTCAGACAGCCTAGGCAAACTGATCTTGCTTCCTCCCTCTGTCCTCACCTCGCTCATGTGGTGTTGCAACCTGTCCACAGTCTTATCCAGCATCCCTTTCATTCCCCCACAGCCCATACCACTCTCACCACAGATGCCTTGCTCGTTGGCTGGGGTGCTCATCTGGACAGCCACGTGGCTCAGGGCCTCTGGTCCCCCAGGGAGGCGCAGATGCACATCAACATCCTGGAGCTCTGTGCCGTCTGCCTCACCTGCCGAGTTTTCCTGCCCTTCCTCCGCTCATGGCATGTTCAGCTGTTAAGAACATAAGAACAGCCATACTGGGTCAGACCAAAGATCCATCTAGCCCAGTATCCTGTCTTCCAACAATGGCCAATGCCATGTGTCCCAGAGGGAATGAACAGAACAGGGTAATCATCAAGTGGTCCATCCCCTGTCACCCATTTCCAGCTCTTGGCAAACAGAGGCTAGGGACACCATCCCTGCCCATCCTGGCTAATAGCCATTGATGGACCTATCCTCCATGAATTTATCTAGTTCTTTTTTGAACCCTGTTATAGTCTTGGCCTTCACAACATCCTCTGGCAAGGAGTTCCACAGGTTGACTGTGCATTGTGTGAAAAAATACTTTCTTTTCTTTGTTTTAAACCTACTGCCTATTATCCAGATCCAAATACATCATGGCCCTGTATGCCAGCATACTTTCCTGTAAAAACAAAGCACTACTTGAGCAGTATGGCTTTTTTTTTTTTTTTACTTTAAAAAAATACAACCCCTAACTTGTTCAGGAGTCTTTGTGATCAGTTTTTTATTTCTGTAAGAAATACTTAACAAATGGTTTTGAATTCAGCTTGTTACTGCCAGCCTTTGAAGTATTTCATTATTACTATTATTTATTTATTTATTCCTACAGCAGAATTGAAAGAAGTACTTCTTTCCTCTAATTCCTAAAAGTGTCAAGAATGTTCTGCTAATGCAGTCTTTTGACAGACTTTTAGCAGAAGGATTTATAGTACTGCCATCAAGGTGTGAAAAATAGAACTACTTAAAAATTCGTTATATGGTTTTCAGAACTTAGTCTCTTTTTAAAGACTAAACACTGTCACGCAGCTGTTTTTGTAATAAAGCCTTCATTAAAGAATTGGAATTTTCTTGAAGGGACCCTCACGTTGGTAGGCCAGAATTTGACATTCTGAGTAATGACTTCATCTGGAAGGTATTACCATAAAATGGTTAAAGAATAAGGAAACTAATCTTCCATACAGTGGACATTTGAAGGGGATGAAAGTGAAAAATGCATCACTTTGAGTCACAAACTCATATGTTTATAGAGTATGCGTGCACAGATGTAAATGCTATGTATTTTTCTTTTTCCTAAAACTGTGAAAATATTAGTTTTCTAAAACCAAAGATTGCTTAAGAGAGACAGCCTGAAGCCCAAAGTCAGGTATAAGAGTACTAAAATATGCCAGTATTGCAGCTCCAAAGTCAGGATAAAGCTAACTCTGCGGGGTGTTTATTTCACTGGAGAAATTGCACAATTTCTGTCCTGTCTTTCAAGGAAGATGAAAGTACAGACAAATACAGTGATTGTGGGCTTTTTAAAATAAACTTAGGCAAATTAGTCAAAAAATTTAGGTACCCCGACGTATCAACAAATAGGGCTCAATCCAAGGCCCATTGAAATCAATGGAAGAATTCCCACTGATTTTAATGGACCTTCGATCCAAGGCCATATTCTGCTTCACTGTTTTACTTCTATAGTTAGTTTTTTTAATTGCTGAAAAGATCTTTACAAATTTCAATAGGGAGGCAAAAATTATTAAATATTTTTAAAGGAATTAAAAAAAAAGTTCATGCCTATAGAACAATTGAAAGGAGGGTGCTTTATCAAAAAAATTAAAGTTGACAGTGTTCTTTAAGCTAAAACTTTCCAGAAGCACCACTCTCTGAGTATTGGTCAATTTTTAGTCTTGCCCAGGTTCATAGTGTCCTTCTTGTTTGCTTGTTCTTTTTAAAACTACAGTCAGAATTATCAAATGGTAAGTTTTGTATTGTGCAGAAATAATTCTCTATTAAGTGTTATATCAATGATAAGAAATGTTTGTCTAAGCAATCTTATTACAGTATTACATTTTGACGTGTACTAAAACTTCATGAAACAAATATTTTCAAAATAGATTGAAACACTGTCATATTATCCCATATTTTAGCTATATAAGAGCTAAATAATATTATTACCTAAGTCATGGTCAGTATTGGATTTGACATAAAAGAAAACAGCATTTTTAAGATTGTTCATTTTTAAATCAGTATAACTTTCTAGCCCTAAGCACTCCTAGTTTTTGTATTCCTTTCAGTTGATGTATGCAGTGTAGTTGTAGCTGTGTCGGTCCCAGGATATTATTAATATCTTTTATGGACCAGCTTCTGTTGGTGAGAGAGACAAGCTTTCGAGCCACACAGACCTGAAAAAGAGCTCTGTGTGGCTCGAAAACTTCTCTCCAACAGAAGTTGGTCCAATAAAAGATATTACCTCACCATTTAAGCTTCTGTTTTTTTTTTTAAAAAAAAGCTTTTTTCTTAGGATTTTGGCAACTGGAGTTCTTTACATTTCAGTTTGCTGAAGAGGTAGCATGATATAAAACATTATTGTATTTGTTGCTTGCTCTTTCAATAGTTGGAATGTTTTAAGATCTGCCTTCTCTGTGTTTGATTTTTTAGGTCTGGCTCAGTGTGCTGAACTCTGCTGGCAGCTAAGAGGGGAAGCTGGGAAGAGACAAGTTCCTGGTGCAAAGGTTGCTCTGCAACATAACATAGGCCTTGGTGGTGCTGTAGTTGTAACATTATACAGAATGGGTTTTCCTGAAGCTGTAAGGTGAGCTTTTATCTATTTGTGTTTATATAAATGTCATCAGAGAAGAGGTAGCATAGTTCTTTACTTTGGAAGACAGAGATTTTCTGTTTGAGTGCAGCATAAAGTAGGATGTAATGTTTAAATAGTGTGGTAGATCCAGTTTGGTAGTGCTGAAATGAAAATGTGCATATAATTGGCTTATTTTGCACATGCAATACAGTTTTCTCAGTACCCTACTAAATAGACTGCTTGGATTATGTTTGTTCCCTCACAGCAGGGAAAAATGCAGTTCCTGAATGCACAACTCTTTCTCAATGCTTATGTGCAGCTATTTTTCCTGCAGTCTATTTCAACTTTTTTAGTGGTTTTGGTGTTGGTCATGATGGCTTCTTCCCCCCCCTCCCCCCCCCAAGTGTGTTCTAATAAGTATCTGTCTCCATGTCCAAAATTCTAAATAAATTTAAGGAAAAGGGATATGAAAAACTAGCACTGATACTTTGATATGATTCTTGTAAAACTCCAGACATTTTAAGACTGCAATTAAATTGCCATAAAGCGGCATGAAAGCTACAACCTTCATACCTTTAGTACTTCAAAATGCTCCAGTTTGAATGCACAGGTCACTGACCGTTCCTAGATAGTGTAGTCAGTAGTCATAGATTCCTTTATTTGTTTAGATGTACAAATAATAGTTATTTTGGATAAGAAATACGAAATAAAACAGTAGCTTCATGCCTTTTCTGTTCAAGAGCAGTTATTTTTTGTAGTAGAAAAATCTTAGTTTCACAGAGAACATGTGAGTGGGATTTTGTTTTTTAAACTAGCAAGCGCCTGATATTTTTCTTTGGGGTTCTTATTTAATGGAGTTTTGCCATTGTCTTCAGTGGGGTCAGGATTTCCAGTCCTACTAGCAACAGAGATGCCTGTTTCAAAATCTGTGCAGTGTAAGGTTTGTTACTACTTATTGGAAATTTGTTTACTATTGGGAAGGGTTTAATAATCCCTATCACAGATTTTGATAGTGATGTGAATATTTGATGGCTTTGGTGATGACAACAGATGTGGAATATTTGCATAGGAATTGGGGTTGGTGTTTCTGCTTGTACAAATATTTTTGCAATAATATTTGTTTAAAAAGAGTATTGTAGGCATAAACCCCCCCCTAGTTTAGGAACAAGTGTATGTATACGTGTTCTTACAGCAGAACGATAATTGGGATTATAGGCGTATGAGGGAGTTTCCATACAAAGAGAGATTATAGGATATAGAATTTCATAATTCAGACAGGCAAAAATAAGAGAAGATACGCTACAGATATATAAATGAATGAAAGGTATATGGAAGTCCATTTGAGTTTTCATATTTTTCTGGTCCCATAGTAAAAGGATAAGGGGGGTGGTAAACATTAAACAGGTAATTAATCTGAGGAACTCTGTCATGGGATTATCTAGGCCAAGAATTTGGTAAGATTAAAAATGGTAAATCTATATGAATAAAAATATCTTCTATAGTAGCTGTAAGGGTCATCAGGTTTTCATTGGTGAACTATCAGGTGTGGTCATAGAGAAATTCCCTTGTTGTATAATATGCATATTTAAGTGGCATTGCAGAAGTTTTATACCTTCCTGTGGCTCATCCAGTTTTGGTCAGGGTTGTAGAATGCCATACCATTGTAAATGCATAATTGGTCCATTCCTGTAAAGCAATTCCAAACTGTTTTTATTTTCAAAACTTTATATATGTTGTAGTTTTAAATTATTAATATGAACAGGAGTTGTACCAAAATATGCCAGTCCATAAAAATAAAAGGATTTGGGAACCATCGTGAATAGTTCAGTCTTTCCTTTATATAGCTTGTACCTTTAATTTTGAGACTCTGGGAATAGGTAATCAGCAGACAATGGTCTTCTGCTCAGGGTGTAGCTTCAAAAGACTGGATTTTTGCATAATCAGAGATGGGGAATTTGCGTTCAGGTTCCTATAGAGATTTCCCAGGCAAACTGCTTGACTGTTTGTCCCAAAGGTCCATTTTTGTCTGGCCCACTTTCAATATAGCCCTTTGAAGTTCATAACTCTTTCCAGGTTTCACATCACCTCTCCCCCCTAAAGAGGTTACATACAATCCTGGCCCACAATAATACATAACCTTTGCATTTAATATAATGGACTTCAAAGATACTTAAACTTAATTCAGTTAGGGCCATTTCCTGCAGTATACGTGAAAAAAACTATCTGCCACAATTATTTACTTTCTTGCGCCCCCTTTTTTTTGTCTTTCTAAATTGTAAGCTCTTTGGAGCAAGGCCAGTCTTTGCATTGTCTCTACATTGCTAGCATATCCTGAGTTACTGACAATAGTGCTCTCCTTTGTGTGGGAGGAAAGGTTTTGCATACTCAGCTGATTGTGTTCCTCCTAAATAACTGCAATTAGAAATTATTACTACAACCCATTTATTTGACTTTTCTTTGACATAATTATCATCTTACAAAAATTTGGTTGGGGGAACTGCTCGTGAGATTTTTTTTTTCTTTTTTCCTGAAGATAACTTTCAAAGTATAGAAATTAAAATCTAGACAGCTATCAATTGCTGCCTTCTTATTAATGTTGTTTTTCCAAAAGGCTTTGCCTGTAAAAGACCTCTAATAGAAGAATTGCACTAAACATATGTCAGATGTTGGCATTAAAAAAGTTAGGCTCCTCTGTTCACATCATTTAGCTATGCAATTGTAGTGTGATATGTTAACATTGGGTAACAAAGGGAAAGCTATTGCATTTCATGGTCATAAAGATCTTAATAAATTTTATTTCATGATGGTGCAATCTTGGTTTAAGTCATCAGAGCTAGATGTACTGTATTCAGTGGCTCCAGTAATTAAAAGTTACTCTGGGTATACATCCAGGTAAATGAGAGCAGAACTTGGTGCCTTTATATGTAGCTCTAAATGAGATGGATTTGTATGTAATAGAGGGTTATTTGTTAGGTTCTTCACATGATTCTAAGGTCTTGTGTTTACTGCAGAGTTAACTTGCATTATAGCTTGAATCCCATTTCCCCCCCCCCCCCCCACACACCATTAACTTAGCTGGCTGGCCTGTCCGGGTATAGGCTACAGCTTGAGTTTGCATAACTCATCAGCTGCTAACATAATCACTCTGTGCAGTTTGACTGTTACTTTGTAGTGTGGCTGCTCTCATTTGAGCCAGGCTAACTTGAATGTAGATAACTTGAGTTTTCTTTGCAGTGACAGACAGCCTAAGTGATTTAAATGAGTGGTTTCCTTTCATTTCAGCAGCCAGCGCATCCAGGCTATTCCCACCAGAGCAACTGTTGATGGATTTAAGGCCCATCTTGTCTTCAAAGAGATTGAAAAGAAACTTGAAGAGGTAAATCCCTTTATTTCTTTTTTTAAAGTCTTTATAATGGGAGACTTAACTTTTTATTTCTTATGCTTTGGCTTCAGAGATAAGGTTCATCATCTAGCTTTAATTCACACCTCAAGTGCCTCACTGCATGCAAAGACTTGAAAAATGTACTTGTCCAGAGCGAGATCTGTTCAGTGTAAGGAGCATCAACTTTTGCAGAATCCATGCATGTTTTTAAAATGAAAGATGTGACCCCTTCTTAAGTCTACTAAGAGGATCACTATGTGTGTTGAGGGAGAAAATTGGTTGTTGCTGTTGACAGTTGGGTGTCTGTGTGTGAATGATTTGCCACTCCACACTTTGGAGCGGGAAGCACTGTGTAGGTGGTAACTGTGACAGATATTGCAATCCTATGCAGTATTTTTGGGGACCATTGTACTAAATTTATGGATGAATTATGTATGATTGTGTTCTGCTCTCTGGGGGTGGGTTATCACAGTTCTTCCTGGAACTAAAAACTGTGGGAGGTAATAACCTGGGATATGTAAACAACTCCAAAGCACCACCTTCTGGGGTGTTTGCATATACTCGTTCAAACTGGGTTTTCCAGAGACTCTTTTGGTATAAAAAGCTGAATTGATACAGGTCCTTCTTACTGATCCAGCAAATGGACAGGACCTTCTCTCCAAGGGGGCACCAACCCTTGTGGAAAGGTTGGAAAGACTGTCTTATTAGGGCCCCATCAGACTGATGGGTGACTTCTGGTAAGGTTTTAGCATTCGTGTAGGAACTCTTATTGTTTTTTACATGGGTTTTTTTAATGCTTTTTTGGTCCTATTGTTTGCTGAGAAAGTTCTGTGTGGTCACTGGTAAAAACCCTGTCATTGTTTTCAGAGAGAAAGCACAGCCCAGGTGCTGGCCTTTAGACAGATGGCTTTCTGGGGATATTACAGTGTGACACAGGGCTGGGCAGCCTTAAAACCCCCATGCGTAAGAGAGTGGGACAAGAGTTCCTGCCCAGAGACAGGTGATGGCTAGAGATCTGAGACCTCACTGGGCAGTATTCCTGGAGTGGACCACAGAGAGGGAATGCAGATGCACTTATCCCAAACTGACAATAACCACATGGATAAAGGGCTCTGTGTGCTGGGTGGGAAGCTCACCAATACTGATTTGGGTGGAGTGAGTGTGGGGAGCTTCTGCCACCTCTACAGAGGATTTTGGGGCTGAGAGGCTGCTGTTACTATGCCTGCAAAATTTCAACCCATCCTCCCTCCACCTCTGACAGGTTGCTGGGAGAGGAGCTACTCATTATAGGCTCGATCCTACAAGGTGATGAGCACACTGGCCCAGTCTATCAAAGCACTTGAGCATGTGCTTAACTTTAAGCGTATAAGTAGTCCAGTTCTCTTCATTAGTAATATAAAGTTTGAAACTGATGTGATTTGTTGTGAATTTGCTAGGCTATGCTTCTGGTACACAGAAGGTGAAGTGAGTTACAAAAACACTTTGATTACTCTAGAATATCAAACTGATCTTTGTTCTTAAAACAATTTGCTCCCAGTTGCGGGCAGGTGCTAGTAGTTCACTGGGTTCTTCTAATATGGCCTCTCCATTACTGGAGGTTTGCAACTTTGGTAGCCCATGCTGTATGGTCCTCTGCTAATCTCTTTGTGGGTGAATCGTCTTTGTGATCCGCCCAAGATACCACATCAACCATCTGAATTCTTCTTTTTCTGCCTCACGTTCTTCTGTCATCAACTTTCCCTTCCAGTGCCTGTAAACATGCATCGCACTCTCAACCACTTAAAATGTGGCCTGAAATAAAAACTTTCTTGTCAGAAAATCTAACTTTTGCTGAGTGCCAATCATTTCCAGTACTTTTTAGTTAGTTATGTGGTTTATATATGATATTTTCTGAATTCTTCTGTAACACCATAATTTGAAGGATTGAATTTTTGTTATTAATTCTTTGACTGTCCATGATTCACAGTTGTGATTTAACACAGACCAAATACAAGTTTTTATGAGTTGGAATTTAATCTTCAGATTCATGTCCCTTCTCATCAGATGTTTATTCTTCCAGAATGTCTTTTGCTCTAGCTGTACTGGTGCTGACTTCAGTATCCAATCTTCCATCTTCTGTAATGATGCTTCCTAAGTAGCAATAATTTCTCACTTTCTGTATAGTTGTGCTGTTCACTGGAATCTTGCATGTTTTCCTAGGATCCTTGATACGCCCATAATTTTTGTCTTGTCCATATTAAACTCTGGGCCATATTCTTTGCCATATTTATATATAATCTTCACTAACTTCATCAGACCGTCTTCTGAATCAGCCAACAATACTGTCATCTGCTTAGCGAATGTTATTCACCCATTTTCCATTCATGTTAAAACCTTCTATTTCTTCAATTAATTTAATCAAATACTTGCCATGAATGTTGTATAATGTCACTGACTTTATTCAACCTTGTCTCACATCTTTCTTAACCTCTATTAGGTTTCCCATTTTCATCTCCCAATATAATTGCCTTCTAATGCCATTCATTACTCGGAGTTTGTACCCATCAGTCCCTACAGATCTTACTATATTGAGAAATTTGTAGTGGTTCCCTCAAAGGCTTTTTAGAAGTCAATGAAACACAAGTATGCTGTTTCCCCATTTCTATTGATCTTTCTAAGATGAGCTTCGTATTCATAATGCTGTTTATGGTGCCCTATTCATGTTTGATTCCATATTGTTGTTCACTTTCTTCCTTATCAATCTTTCCTTGTATTTGGTCTTGAACAACTCACAAAAGTGTCTTAGAGGCATGCGATACTAGTCTGATTGCTTTATAGTATTTACAATCCATAGTGGTGTTCTTTTTTGGGATTTTGATACACAGTGAAGTTGTAAAGTCATTCATACTCTTCATTACCTATGCCAGGGCTTTCAACCCTTCATCCCCTATGTTTTTTTAACAATTCAGCTGGTATTTCATCACATCCTAGTGCTTTTCCATTCAGAAGCGTTTTTATTGCTGCCATGATTTCGTCATCAGTTGTTGGTGGGCTTCCCTGATTGATCTCTAGTTGAGGTTTTTCAGGCCTGTCATCATAGTTCCTTGATATATTTTTGCCATAACTCATTCTTGTCCTTTAGATATTGAGATATTGTCCAGTTTTGTCCTTTAGGGTCGTATCGATTACTTTTGTTTAATTAAAGTCTCTTATGTTTTTGATATATCTCACTTTGTTCTCCTTATCCACTTGTTCAATTTCTTTGTATTTCTCATTCAAACTTTGCTAATCTGTTGCATTTATGTGTTACTTTATTTAGTCTTTGATTTTCCTCCTTTTCTGTTGTTGATCTTTGTGTATTGTGCTCACCTAGTTACTGTTAATAATTTTCAGCTTTTATTTGGTGTTTGCTGCTTTCTATCTTGATATAATGAAAGAATAGTAATGTCGTGGAAAAACGACCACGCGTTGTGTTTGGATCAGAACAAGCCTGAGGTTTCCTTTATTGAATACAAGCATGCAGGGGGTGACAGCTATCGGAGCTGCCCCCCTGATTCAAGGAACACACAAGCTTTTAAAGCTTAAAATCACAAACAAATTACACATACTTTCGTCTTAATTACCTTATTTGGAATACAGGTCAAAAGCAAAAAGAATAATCATATTCCCTTATTCGGCCTTTCCTGTTGTTGTTATTCACAGTCTGGTTCTTTTGCGGTTTGACTTTAACAGTACTATTGCGGTTATATATTTCTTAAGCTTGGCTATTGCAAATTGTTCTGTTTGGGGACTTTTCCATTCCACCTCTTCATGCCCCTTATACACAGAAAGCCATTGTTCCGTTTTGGGGACTTTCCATTCGGCCCTGAAAAAACGGAAACATGCTCGGCCAATACTTTAGGCCTACTAGCTTGACCAGAGTTTTAAGGCCCCCTTTAGATTTTCCTCCACAGTAACATGGCCTTTTTCCAAGCTTAAAGCAAAAATTATAATAGGGCAAGCCTATAATTTCCAAGCAAGTATTAATATTTACCTGTTTTTATAATATATTTGATCTTTGCTTTTAAACTTATATTTGTAAATGGCAGTTATTTGAGACCTTGGAATTATTTGTTCTTTTTGTTTTTAGTAGACTTTTATCAGTATGTTGGGAGGTGGTAACTCCGAAAAATGGGGAATGATTACATTAATTAAAGCAATTATATATTACCATTGATCTCAAAATTAACAGATATTCAACTTCCAAAGAGTATGTATTTATGTACAATATCTATAGTATAGAAATTCAGGTTTGCGTGTGTTAAATTAAGCTTAGCAGAATGAATTGAATAGAGCTTTAATAACAAGTTGAAAGATTCATCTATTGCTACTTGGTGTAAACATCTGTTAAAACAAATTATTTTAATTGTGCCAAAGCCGATGGAATGAAGTGATTCACTTGTCCATCAAATGTAACTTATGCATAATCATTACAGGAAGGAGAACATTTTGTCAAGAAAATTGGTGGTATCTTTGCCTTCAAAGTAAAAGATGGTCCTGATGGTAAAGAAGCAACCTGGATAGTAGATGTGAAAAATGGTAAAGGCTCTGTAGATATTAATTCAGGTCAGTGCTGTTATCTCTACAGTATGTCTTTTGGTATAACCCATATTGTCAGAATGAAAGGGAACCATCAGGTCCTTGAAGGTTACATACAAAATATGAACTTCTTTAGTTAAACAAGAACTACATTATTTTTAATATCCCCACCTCATCATTGACAAATGAAGTTAAGTTTTAATCCTCATTGTTTGGATATGGCTAAGATTAAGTGCTGTTCCTCTTCTTCTCCTTCTGTCCTCATGTTTCCTATGACACTTTTTTAAGACTTCCCAGTTAGATAAGCAGCATTTGAGGAGATTATAACATACATGACTCTTGGAAGGACCAATGCCAGAATAAACAAAACTGGGTAGCTACTACACCAATGGATATCCTAGAAATGCCTGAATGGACAGATAGAAGATTGTTCTTGAAATTTGGGGGGCAGGCTTAATTGCAGCTGCAAATTGGAGCATGCCTGGCCCATGTCCAGAATTGCTGCACCCACTGATTACAAGATAAATCAACATTGGCTGCATGGGTAAGGGTACAAAACTTGGTGGGGGAAATTATATATAATGGTATTACAGAAAGAGTGGAAGTATTTGACGTTCTCCTCTCCACTGCTGTGGAGTAAAAATATCTCAAACTTGTTCACTGAATGTACTTCAGAGAATTGGATGGTTCATGTCTTTTTTGTAATTTTGTCCTTGGACATAAATCTGCAGCTGAGTTAACAGAATTTAAATAAGGTATTGTTAGTTTAAGGAGAAGATGTTTTCAGTCGTTATTCTTTCTGTTATGAATGCATTAAAGAACAATGCTATATATAGATACTGGCCTATCTTTTGTCATAATTAAAATCCACTCAAGAAAGTCAGTGAAAACTCGTGGTTACAGATACAGATGAAATAGATGATAACATTTTCAGCTGGCTTATGGTTAAGGTGATCTTGAAATCTCCTGGGGTTGCACTAACTCAGCAGCTGTGGCTGTGAGCTTTTTGTTAAGAAATGTACAAAGGAAAACAGAACACGCACGCCTCCTCTTGAAAAGCTCTGGGCAGGAAATGCCTCAACTTGGAGTTTGTGTAGGAACTGTCTCAGGAGAAAATAAACATCTAATCCAAGTTAAAGTTTTTATTTCTACTTAGAAATTAAGTTCACAATACAAATCAAAAGGGTGAAAAATATGAATCTAACTCCTGGAGTTAACTTTTAACTAATCACAAGGATCTGTTTCTCAGTGAATGGGGAATTAAATAATGTTTCCCAAACCTAATACGAAATAATACTTCTTAGTTTTCAGGACCTTTCACAAATATTAAAATCCCCTATGTAGTTCCAAGAGCAGAACAGGAAGTGACATTTCCCTTCCCTGCAAATGAGCATCAAGCTGGTTCTGGGGGGACTATGTAGAGTAGATAATGTCATGCCCATTGAAGGTGAAGTTCTGTGCTGCATTTCTAAAGGTACATCTACACTGTGATAAAAGACCCGTGGCACTGCCGCAGCTGGCTCAGGTCAGCTGACTTGGGCTTGAGCTGCAGGGCTATAAAATTGCTATGTTGATACTCTGGCTAGAGCGTGGGCTCTGGATCCTCCTCCCTCGCAGCATTTCAAAGTCTGGCTCCAGCCAGAACCCAAACGTCTATACTGCAATTTTATAGTCCCACAGCCCATGCCCTGTGAGTCCGAGTCAGCTGACCTGAGCCAGCTGCAGGTCTTTGATTCCAATGTAGACATACCCTCAGAGGTATAAACACAAAACTCGCAAACCAGGAGAAGGGGAGGCCTTAAGAGGCTCCTGATCCTAGGCAGCTCTGGGGGCTGTGGTGGCCCCTAGGATCACTGTCGCACTGCATGCTGGACCCTACATCTGATGTTTCCCTCTCACATTTGGCACACCCCCTGTAGTTGGGCATGTGAAGAGGTCCTCATAAGACAGTTTTATAGTTGTTTTTCTGCAGTGCCAGCAATAGGGAAATCCCAACCAGCCAGGACTTCTAGAGGCCATTTATGTCTGATCCTTTCCCCAGCATAAACGGGCTAAAGTGTGGTTGAGGATCTCTCCCTCATCTCAGTTGAGATTAACAATTGTGATGGATTATTGCTGTGGACTCGAATCCTTTTGGAACTGGATTGTGATCACAGACTCACTTTACAGGCCCCAAACAGTCCTCAGATATTAGCAACTTCCAGTTGCCAGTGACCTGGGTCTGATTTGTACTAGCAGTCTAGAGAGAGATTTTAAATCTTATTGCTATACTCCAGCCCACCTAATCCCAGTGCCCTTTATTATTAATGGGCTTATTTTTGTAGCAAATGCTTTAATACTTAGATTTAAATACTGCCTGACTATATAGGCTATATTGTAAAGCCCTGTCTGGAACTCCTGCTGATCCTTCTGTAACAGGGTTTCTCAATCAAGTTCCCTCTGACACCCTACAAAGTGATTATGCAGTACCTATGCTGCTATACCTGCTAATGAGGCTCACTCATATTTTATCCCTTCCTTCCAACTTCTGCTGAGCTCTGTTAATAAGCAGCATGTGACCCTATAGACCATGACTTCTTTTAATATCATTCCACTACTCTACATTCGCAGGAGCTTTAATGTGACTCATGCCTGAGAGTGCTCTGTCTCTCTCAACTTGAAGCTAAACAGTCAAACTCTGTCTCTGTTATGTGTTACAGATAAGAAAGCTGACTGTATAATTACAATGGCTGATTCTGACTTGTTGGCTTTAATGACGGGCAAAATAAATCCACAGACAGTAAGTAAAATGAAGATTAAATGAAAAGATGAATATCTAGAATTGTTTTTATTTTACATAGGCTATGAAGCAACACCTTTATTTTTTTCTGGATCTTTTGGCTAAGTGATCAATACTTTTTTATGCAAGAGTATTTTTTGAACACCTATTAGCTCTAAAGGATAGCAAATATAGGTTTTTACACTAATGTACTTCCAGTGTACTTGGCAGAATGTTTACCTGGCAATCAGTAAGTGCAATGAATAAATTTCCTGTTTGGAATTGCTTCATTATTCAGCCTTATGACGACAAGGCTACATGCTGAAGAAATGAATAGCAGAAAGTACACTAGTCACAGAACACCTAAGTACTGAACAGTCTAAAACAAGGCAGTTACTGTGCCACAATTCTAAGATTCTGTAGGTGCTTTAGTCATATATTGCTTCTAAAAATGTTACTCTCATTCTTGAAACTGTTTATTAAATTCCTGCTGTTTTGTAACTGCACTACTGGGACATTTAGAAAATTATGAAAGTGCCACTCACAGTTCCATAGTTAAGGGTGAATTGAGCATTTTTGCACTTAATCCAGAGATTCAACCAGTTTGTTGTGTACGAAGAATACAGCATATCCTCACCAAAATCACAGCATTCACTCTTTGAATACAGACTACAATTTTGTGAGACTTTACAAGCAAATATATTAATTAGTTTACAAGCAAATTTTATTACTTTAAAATGAGTCCTTTGAGTAATTTAGCACCTGATGTTGGACCTTATCTTTGTCCTGAATAATCTTAATAATGGAATAACACAGATGTTTTACACTTTTCTGATATTTAAAAACTCACTGAAATCTTATGTGCAGGCTATTTTTGAAGACAATTTTAGGATTAATGGTCATTTTTCCCCCTGTTCTTCATAAGTGGTAGTTTCTCCTTTAGCATGGAGATGAAGAATTTTGTTCTTCTGCATAGAATTTTACATAGAACTGGTCTCTTTCAAAATGGCTGTCATCTCCCATTATTTTCAATAGGATGGAAGACATTGGCTGTTCTCAGATGGTCATTTTTATAAGGGATTGTTTCCCATAGTGTTCCTCTCTGCCTTCTGATAGTATAGGGGGCTTCACTTATTGGAAACAAGTGGTGGCAGTGGTCAGTTTGACTGAGGGTGGCAGCTAATGCTCTGTCTCATTGAAAACCATGGGAGAGGATGGCCATTGAGAAAGAGGGCGATTCTTGAGTCTCTCCGATTTTTATTAATCAGCCTCTGTGACAGATAAACTTTCATTTTTGAAATAAAGGCAAAAAAGACCATTAATCCTAAATAATTGTTTTGAAAAGCTACACATTATACTGGATGTACTCACCAGATAGGCCAGGAGGGGAAATTTGAGGTCTGAAGGTTGCAGGAGAAGAGGAGGGGGAAATTAGTATCTGTATGCAGGGGATTGTGGGGTGCACAAAGGAGGGAGAAACTGGTGTTGTGTACAGGGAGATAGAGGCAGGCACAAGCAGCAGGGAGAATTTGGGCAAGAAGAGAGAGAAAGAAACAGAGGTACACGCTGTGGCTGTTTTGTGCTGCTCTGGTGATGCAAAGCAGCTGTAAAAAAAACAAACCAACCCCCCCCCCCCCCAAAAAAAACCAGTTGAATTGGGCAGTATGCTCTTGCTGATTTGCTGTGCTTCAGCGTGGCATAAAGCCATCAGAACATACTGATGAATCTGGCCTAAAAGTTTAAATTTATTTTTAATTTTAAGTTGATACTTTATATTTTCAAATCATCAGAAATATCTCAGGGTAACGTTCTCTTTGGGATTCTTGCTTGTGGTTCATATATAACGCTTTTTGTCTGGGAGTTCCCTTGAGTTTTATTATTAAAATTACTCAAGGAATTCCCAGACTAACAGTGTGATAAAATGGAGTTAAGGTTGAATTTACCCACTACTAATTTAGGGTAAAATACATTATAGGGATTTTCTAATTATCCCAAATAACAAATGTTGCAAACCCAGGAATTCAGATTTAACCTTAAACTTAAATATCCAAATATGTGAAAGTACAGAAATCCAAACAACCTTAACTGTCCTGTACTGATACAATATGGGGGTGAGAGAAAAAAATCTCTTTACAAATCTGTTTAATCTGATCAGGCACCACATAACCCTAAAGTGCCTTTATCAGAATCATATAGTTACTGTGTTGTGTCACTACAGAAAAGTTAATGTTGTTTGGGGACAGTAGTGCCAATAATGCTCAATCTGGGAAGGCTTTTCAGCTGATGTTAACCATGTTCCACTGTGAGCTCCAGTGTGTAGCCTATGAATCACTTATGAGGAGGCTTCATGGTATACAGAAAGGATGCAGTCTGAAATGAAAAAAAGTAGTAGTTAGCCATCCCATTCAATTTGGGAATGTCTGGCATTCCTCATCACCAGCCCCCTCCAACATATATGATGGTGGCTTAATGAAATTTATGAAAATTAACTTCTCTCTTTGCACTGTATACTTGCTATGCAAAGCTGAGAATATCACAAACAAACAACAACCCCAAAACTTTTTTGTCAAGCTTGGTAAGATATTTAGATAGAATATTGAAATCCTAATTTTTCCAAATACATTTTTGTTTTCCAATATTTCTATGTAATTTGTATGAAGTAACCATTAACTCTGTTTTGTGGTCTGTCACTGAAATTTCAGGGGTTCTGACATGCTTTTGTGGAGTCCAAGTCCTTCCTTATGTAGGAAAAGAGACTTCTGACATTTAATATACTTAACTGCTTAGATACCACAATTACGTAGCACTATATATAAACTTCAGGAAGTTCCATCAGGCCCTGATCCTGAAAAGATTTACATATGCGCTTAACTTTACGTATGTGAATCATCTCATTGATTTTATTGGGACTGCTCACATGCATACATTTCTCCAGGATTGGGACCTAATTCTCAAAGGCCCGTATTCTAGATATTCTGTTCATTCTTCACAGACAGTTGGGGTTGGCGATTTCCATTATAATCACATTTTGGATTCAGTATTTAAAAGGTACAAAACATAATGCAGCATTTTCACATGGGGAATTGTTATATGCCTGCTTCTCTACAATTTTTTTCCCTTTCCTTGATTCTTTAACTGAGTCTACGTGTAAGTGCCGCAGAGGTGATGTGTTTAGTCTATAAAGAAATTACAGCCCATGCTACAAAGTCTTTATATTCTGTATTGCCATACTGTTTAAAACCTCCGAATATTAAGTATAAACTTTGGATGAAGTGGTGCACTAAGGACAAGACATTGTCACCTGAAAGGATTAGAAGCATCAAAACCAAAGGACAAAATAATATTCTTCATTTCCTCTTTGCAGGCTTTCTTTCAAGGTAAATTGAAGATTTCTGGGAACATGGGCATGGCTATGAAGCTTCAGAGCCTACAGCTTCAGCCAGGCAAAGCTAAACTTTGAATTCATTTGACTGCACTTCACACACAAGACTTGATATCTATATTTGTCAAAATCCAGAGTGGAACTAGACATTGAAAGTAACAGTAGTACAGGTTTTTCTAAATTTGGGTAATCAAATCCATCTTTCCTAAACTTAATAGAACGTTAATAGAGATTTAAGTACTGTCTTGCTGAACTCCATATATCTGTCTAGTGCAAAGTGAATGTAGTAATTGTGACTTTAGACTAAACTGAGGCATTCATGGTTATAAACAGTATAATGCAAGGAATTATATAAACAAAATTTGGTGTTAACCAGCCTGAATTTTTTTTTAAAAGCCTTACGTATTTTTAATGAGAGAGGTCACTTTGCTGTCATTGAACTTAAATCTAACAAATTGGTTCTTTAATTAAAATTATTTTCTGAGAGGAATCTCTACAGCCACATAACTCTTTTTAAACTCTTAGGAATCTGCTTTTAAAATATCTTCCATACTACTGCTTTGGAAATTAAGAAAAAAACAAAAAACCTCTAGAAGTAAATAAAAACATTCAAAATTAGTGGTCAGACCAAGATTTGCTTTGAGATTCACAGCATTAATTGTAACGACTCATCACCTTGAAATAAGATTGAGAGGAAAATCAGATAGCATCTGCTTTGGTTAAATACTTATTGATAAAATGTTCCTAGAGCTGATAATTCTTTTAAGTTCTTACCGAATACTGTAAAAAATTCTTATTCCTTTTTATTCGGTTTTGGAGAAATAATGTATTCTGGTCAAATGTTTAATAGAAAATTAAATATGCTTTTCCTATTCTGTGTGGCTTTTTTGTCAATTTTATTATACAAATCGATTTTCATGGTGCATACTGTGAGGACTATTGGGGCCAGTTTTTCTATGGACCACCACCAAGTGGGTGACAGAGTAGTCTGTTATCTACTGCAGGATTCATTGTAGAGAACCCAGTGTCTGGGGAAGAATATCTCACATAATGTTCTGATTTTATATATTTGTTAGCTAAACTAAACAAGCAAAAAGCATAAAATACATATAAACAAATCAAAGCCCTGGCTGGGGTGATTTAGTTGGGGTTGGTCCTGCTTTGACTACCAGGGGGTTGGACTAGATGACCTCCTGAGGTCTCTTCCAACCCTAATCTTCTATGATTCTATGAAATTAAAATAACATGAATTAACATCAAATCTTTGAATTAATCTAAGTATCCGTTTGATTAAATCATACCAGATAAACCTAAAATTCTTAAAAAGCTTTACCTAATCATTTGGAAGACAGTCTTAGCTATTAGCCCCAAAATAATAGGACATTGTCAATTTCAATGCCAACTGATATATTTGTCATAGCAACAGGAAGGGTCAAATCACTCCCAGGTTGAAATTTTCTGATGGCCAATGTGGCATTCCCTGCCCAAATGACAGATGATTAGGCAACAGTCTTTCCCATCTCCTCTAAAACAGTTACAAAAATTTAGATGAAAATAAGTTTCAGGATTTAAGCATATGACCCTGAAACCCTGAAATATGTGCGATCCTTTAGATAGCAATGCTAACCTGGGGCAGTTTTAGGTGTTTGAGGAAATATTCTATGGATTCTATCCACATGCCCACTACCAGCCATCTTCTGGAGTTAAAAAAAAAAAACAACAACAACAACCCAAACCCCAAGTACGAGCATGTTAAGATAGAGGTATCCCTATACTAGTAAAAAATGGGAAAAGAATACAAAACCAAAAAGGCTGATATTCAGGGTGGTTTTCATTCAGCTTCATGAGGCTGGTATATGGTTGAAAAGATTAGCTGGTGGGTTTGTTAGCTCAGCTATTAAATGTCAACAGAGTTGCTGACTGGCTGGAGGTCACTTGGTTGTAGCTGCTGTATCTCAGACATTGCTGTCTGCCTGCCCCCTTTTGTCAGTCATTGTGGCAGCATATGGCAAGAGGCCAGCAGCGATCGCCAGAAGCAGTGGTTTCTTCTTTACTTTCATTTTTTTGAAGATTGTGGTTGACTGGTTCTTACCCTTTGGAGCTACTCAAGAATTTCTTGGCAAATCCAAATGAGCGACTTCCCTTCAGAAAACACTGCCATTATCCAATGGGGTTTGGATAGATCTCCTTTATGCAAACAAATAACCGCCCAATGCTACTAATTTCAAGCACAGAAAGTTTATAGATCAAAAACATACCCATGAACCTGCTGACTGGGTATTTTGACACCATTTGACAGTCATGGGCCCATCTGCAGACGATATCTCAACCATCCTAAAACAATCCTTACTTGAAAAGAATCCAAACTAGCAAAAACTGGAACTGAAGTCCGAGAAAGCAATCTCTTGCATTTAATCATGCACTTACTCTTAAGACTAAGTGACTGTTCCTGTTCTACAAAACTTACCTTTTACATTTTGGTACTCAGCAGATGAACTCTGAACAGCATTTTTGACACACAGTTTCAGGGAAAGATTAGATTTGAACTCTTTCAGAGCAAAAAAAGTCTTTTAAAATTTCAATTTGGTACTCCAGTTTTCAAGGCCTCTATCTGCCGCATAATGTTTGCTCCTGATATATAGGAACTGCAGACAAAGTATTTACTGAACCCTTTAGAATGATAAAGGAAATGGATGTAATTGGTATACGCACAAGATACAGAACATTGTAATAATGACACATTCTAATTGTACCTAAATTAAAATAATGCAGGCTATATTGTTGCATAAACATAAACAGAACTCCACTCTGGAATCCTCGGAGCGTTCTGCTCAAAACTGAAGCCACAATATGATCCAGTGAAACAAAATCACAACATTGGGGATCTTGCCAGTTTCTTCCATTGGTATATTCATTGTCATGTTATAATAGTACTTTACATCACCACTGTACTTCTAAATACATTAAGAAAAGAGAGTTACGTTTTACGGTATGCTCAATCTAATGGTTTCTGAAACCGCAATTAACATGGTTTGGTCCTGGCTACGCTTGCAGTTAACCTTGGTTTCCAGAGCTGGTTCAGCTGCCCGTTTCACCAGTGGGTCAACTTCCTAGTGTAAACAAGGTAGGTAATGAACTGATATAGATCACAGCAATTGTTAACAATCAAGGATTGGGACAGAAACACTCACTTGCAAATGGAGATGATGTAAATAGCATAACATGGATATAAAAGGAAAGCCTGCTTGACATGCACAGAGTTTGGTTCACTTTTATCAAGTACGCTGGAAAGGGATGCAGGGGAAGAAATGTTTGCCACCGAGTTGAAGAGCATCCAGATCTAAGACCTGAATTTGCAGAGAAATCCTAGGTTTTACACAAGGCCCTGGTCTTTCAGTTGGAATGTTGATTTTTCTCCAGCGCTTCAGAACAGCAGCCAAAGGGCAGAAATACCTTGGAATTCTCACACTACTGTCTCAATCCTTCTGCTGTTCTCCCTCCTCATCTCCTTGTCATAACTTGTATTAAAGGAGGAAAATCCTTCACTCTTTCTCCACTACTATACTACTGGATGTAATGCATATAAGATACACATTTCCTTAATGTCTCTTTTATTGGGCTTCTTCTAAAAGCCCTCAGGCTTGGAGAAATTAAGTAGCCCAAGCTGTGCTCTTAGCAGCACATCATATGCCAGCACCACTGTACAGTCATAGTTAAGGCTGTGTTCAGTTTTGCAGTTAAAATGGAAGTTCAAGCTTGTTTTGTGGGAAAAACAGTGCATCTGCCCCAAACTTTCGGCATATAATCTCTTGAGTATAGCTTGAATTTTCTGAACAATTTCAAGAAAATCGTTTAACTTCTTCCCCAAATACGAATGAGTGTTTTTCCAGAATAGAGAGTAGGAGTGAATGCTGGGGGAAGTTTGGCTCTTAATGTTGGTGGTGGTCTTGGGAAGGCGATATTGATGAGTTGGCATCCTAACAGGGGCAGAGTTAAAGTTGTGCAGTGTTGGCATTGTTATAAAGGTCATTCTGGTAGTGAGATGTGTGTCTTTGGGTTGAGGAATGAAAGATATATTGTGTTGGATGATTTAACTTTGTTTTCTTGGTTTTGTGGTAGGTGTGTTGTGTATAGAGAAACCTTAACTCTCACAACAGTGTTTTTGTGTACTATATTAGAAACAGGCAAACACCATCAGGATTCCCCCGTTGTGCTATGTTCTTACCTTTTATAGCCACAACAATCTGGTCACATGGGATGTTTACCCCCATCTTATCCTAATAGAGAACAATCTGTTCAAGTGTTAGTGAGAGGTGAAAACCAGTAAGTTCCCTGCTTATGTGTGGTAGAATGAAATTCCTTCATGACCCCAAATTTGGTGGTGATTTAAACTCTGCTCGTGCCCAAGAATCACTTGCTTCATACACTGGTGATGGGGAATGGGGGCAAGTCCTTCTTTGATGTAACCTAAACTTGGTTTGCATGTGTCTTTCGTTTCCAGACTGTCCATGTGTTTCTCATATGTTGCATAAAATAAATAGATCATTACCGAAGCCTTTGTCACCTCTCTAAGAACCTATACATGCAAGAAGATTCCCTGTTTGCCTCCATAACCTTGTCTTCTCCAAACAACGTAGGCTTAAGCTCTTCACCATCTCATAACTAAGATCCTCCAGGCCTTTTGATCATCTGTTTTCCTGATCTCCAGAATGTGTGCATCTCTACATTGACAGAGTGCTCCAAACTGGATGAAGTGGTGGAACTCTGGCAAGCTGCTATTTCAAGTACCTTATCATCTTTTTGTGTTAGCCTGATTCCTTTCCCCCATCTCTCTGATCCTCCCTTGCAGGCAGTGAAGTATTGCACTGGAAATGTTTGACTACTAGCTTCTTCTATATAGTGAAAATAACTTTTGGTATTAAGGGCCTTAAAAAAACCCAACACTTCTCCTTCAGGCTTAGTAGTTTCAGGTTCCCAGCTTATATGAGCAAAAATTTCAGCTTCAGCAATTAAACCTTATAAAGTTTCTCCTTTGTTTGTGGGCGTCAATGAATAATCTTTTTCTTTTTGAAATATGTCAGTATTTTTATCAACTGAAATTAAGTTGTTGATCATTTAACACTGGTAAAGAAACACTGTCAGAGTTGGCAGACCTAATCTTTTCATCTTTATATCTGTTTGCAAAGTCCATGTAATTTTTATATATGAATTTTTGTATTAAAAATGTGCAAAACACATGTTTCAGTGCATGTAGAAAATCAAATCCATGTCTCCAAGGCTGAGCTGATGAGCAGAGCTGTGTCTAACTCAGCAGATTTGGCTTGCAGGAATTTGTTACTATTTCACTCTTGGTTCAGAGCTCCTGATTTTTTTGTTTTTGTTTTCTGTCTCCTTGAGTTTTGGATTTGAACCTAGCTGTTTTGCCTGATTTGAAGACAAAGCTAAGCACCATGGAGTTCTGATAGATCCACCTAAAACCATAGGCCTAACTGCTCAAAAGTGATTAGTGATTTTGGGTGCCCAACTTGAGACACTTAAAGGGGAGATGATTTTCAGAGTGTAGGAGCTCAACACTTTCTGAAAATTAGGCCACTTTAAGGTGTCTCAATTTGGGCACTTAAAATCACTAATCACCTTTGAAATGTAGGCCATACATTCGGTGCAGGACCACAAACTCTTGATAATGCCTCTCCCAAATCAGGCACATTTGCTAGAGCACTCTCCATAGCTGAATGAGTGTGCATGAACAACAGGTCTGGGATATTTAGGGAAAGAGGTTTTGGCTTCAAGTTTCTACAGTTTTATAAGTTGTCAGACAGGGCTGGCCCTATGATTAGCATGGCCACATGGGAAGGATGGCATGCAGGTCCATTTT